ATTTTACCAGGGTTATAGCATCTTTAAATTATTTCTTATGGCAGGAGTTCTTGTTTGTAGAAAAATACAAAAAAAAAAAAAAATTAGCAGTCATAATGTGTCTCTAGGTGTAGTTTTTTGTTCTGCCACTAGATGGCATCAACCTGTCAATGTTTTAATCCTGCACACAGTGGATTAAGATCGCACTGGTGATACTGGTCTGCATTAAACAACAATGCAAACAGAAAAAAAAAATATTTCTCCGATATTGTTGCATCATAACTGCATCAGGATGTGTAAAGCTGACAGGAACATGTACATGTAGTGCTGTGCAAATATGCCACCATGAGTTTTGTAGCTTGACAGGGAGATTTTATAGCCTTATCTAGCTGAAATGTGTCTTTATACAACAGTGTCAGGGAGTTTTTATTTTATACAACTAGTGCAGGTTGGAAAGTTTGGATTTAAAATGACAGACATCTAAGAAACTGGAGAAATAATCATTGAGTCAAACTACTTTTTCTTTGTGCTTTGATGTAGAAAACAAACTCATTGCCCCTTTTAGAATATTTTGTTAAAGTTCCTCCTGAGTTTCTCTGTGATCAGCTGGCAGTTGACATTGAGAGGTGTTCCCCAAATTAAAAGATTTTTTGTATTAGTATCCTCTCTGCCGTGATGTTCATAGTAAATATCTCAGCGGTGACACAGTCCAGTACATACAGTTAATGCAGAGTGTTTTATTATGCAGAAGTCCAGACGTTCACACGACTTTATGCAAGCTGTCGACTCTAATGTTGCTTTTGCCAATGTTGCTCGTTAATTTATGATTCATGCCACTGTAAATAAATTATTTTTATTGAGCAGGATTGCCTCTGTCTTTTTATTTTATTCACCATGAAGCAAATCGCCTCATTCTTGTGTGTTGTTTCTGCATTACAGTGGTTTTTACACACAATATTCACATGAACAATGAGGCACCGACCATTATCCACCAACTAAGATATGATTTTTCATCACTGTTATCTGGTAAGATGCATTTTACTGAGAACAGTTTTGACTCAGTGTGTGCAGCACATTCTCCAGAAATTTCAGGAACACATGTTCATTCTTGTGTATTTTGTTGAAAGAGTTTTTCCCAGAAGTTCGTCCCCCCTGAATGCTCTTATCACACAAATGAGGTGTCAGATTTCAGTTTCAGTTTCAGTTACAATATTATAATAAAAATGACTTATTGCTAAAAGGCAGAAACAAAATGTAGCGTTTTTAAAGATTGTGGACACGTGGGGTTACTGAAGTCAAGATGTTTTATATTGTTAGATGAATATTTCTCTATATGTGGCTCCTTGGGCCTGTGAAGCTGTAATACTTTGTGTTTTGCGTGAAATACAGAAAAATATAGCTAAATTATTAGGGTTTGTTTGATGTGTGCAAGTTCTAGTTTGACCCTGGTGTCACCTTAATCACTGTCACTTAACTGTTTTACTTGAACTTAACTTTATACATGCCTCCCTGTCATAAATCTTGAATATGAAATAAGAAACTGTTTGTCCCTGTAACTATTTGTAATGACACACTCAGATTCATGTGGCGTTCAAGAGTTCCTTATTTCAAATGTGACACTTGCATTTGGAGAAGTAAGGAGCAACCAAACGTCTTTAGTCAGGAGGATTTACCACACATACAACAGCACATGTGAGCCACGGCAACATGAAGCCACACACACAGATATACTCCCTGCTCTGCCTCGCTAAGACTCCTCTCTACAGAAAGGAAATTGAAACCTGTGCAGCACCTCATGTCCTCTGCATGGCCTCTCAAATCTAATCACACGGCAGCTCCACTGTCTGCCAGTCGAGATATGAAAACTTTACCAACTCCATCTTACTCTAAATAAACCTTTTTGTCATGAATGTATTATTATGAAATATAACAAACTGTGGCGAGAGATGCCACACTGTGCTGGGAAAGATACGCTCATTGAGTAAAGCTTGCAGCATGTAAACAATTGCTCAAGGTCATAACCTTCACGAGAGGTTGAGATTTCTGTCTAACCTGTGGCTCATATGAACAACCATAAAAGAATGGTTACATACAGAGACATCACACAGGAAGTACACTTGAAGTACTAACAGCATCTGCTCTGCAGTATTTTGAAATAAATATTTTAGCAATATCTGAGATTTATGTGTTTTGTTCCTGCCATTACATAAGCCCTCTAATCATCTGTTTTCTTTGTGTTGCATTATGTCAACATCTCATGCTGTTACAACACTCATTCTTTGTGTTTGTATGACAGAGAAATTTATGAATTGTTACTACAATTGTATCATGTCCTGACTGAAAAAGCATAATCTCGGTGGCAATTGGTTGGTATGTATTTCCACTGTACGTGATCTGGACACCCATTGGTCAATTCAGCTCTCAGTCAGGTCGCAACTGGTCATTGGCTCTCAGGCTTTGGCTCAGAAGGCCCAGGTCGTGAGAGCCAAAGACGGGTATAAAAACTGAAGGACATCTCACTCTGGCTCTATTTCCAGACCGCAAACTGTGAGGTGGACTGCAAATAAATCAGCTGGCTATACTCTTGTCTCTTGTCTGATTGCGCTTTTACATGTAGGCCTAAAATGTTAATACATCATAAAACCACAATACACTTTAAACATGGAAGGCACAATAAAATACATCTGCTACAATACACACACCACAATACATTTACACTATACCCCTTAATAGTTTGTGCATTTAGCTACGATTGGAGCATTTGACCTTTGTTGTGAAGGATTGTAAATCCGTAATCAGTTTGATGTCATTTTGTACTGTCTTCCAGAGTTGACAGCTCTTTATGGAGAAAGCTGATTGTCTAAATTTAGATTTACAATATAGTATTTTACAATCTCCACTCCCGCTGCTCCTTGTTACTCTGTTACTGTCTTGTCTTTGCATCAATCTGGAAAGAGGCTCTGGAGCTAGACTGTTGATAAATTTGAAAACTAATTTCAGGAATCAAAAGTTAATGACGCTGTCAAAGCTTAAAAGATTGTATTGCTAATATTTTGTCCATTATTTTCAGTGCCTTATTGTATAAAGATGCAATGTGTCTGATTGTAGATGGTGATGTTTTAGCCCATACTGTCACGCAGTATGAAAACTGAGAGGAAATTAGATCAATCAACAATTAGGGTTTGTTTTTACTGTTTCTGGGATCTTCTTCGTGTGTCTATCTTATTTCAACTGATGATCTAAAATTACTCCTAAAAACTTGAAATTGACATTGACCTCCTCTATTCTTTCATTCTGTATCTTGATATTATATTTTCTAAGTGAGTCCCTTTTTCTAACTGAGAAACACACTGAAACTGCTTTTTTCCCAATTCAATACAAAGTGATTATGTTGCAGCCACTGATGTATGTCACCTAAGCATGCATTTAAGATCTCTGCAGCTTTACTAGGCGACTTAGCTGGTGCATATATGATTGCGTCATCTGCATAAAGCTATCAAATCGCATCTAGGCAGCTTGCAGGTAGGTCATTTAGGAGTAGACTGAAAAGCAGTGGGCCAAGGACTAAACCTTGGGGAATACCCAAACTCTTGTTTAAAAGAGATGACTTTTCTTCACACTCCTCTCTAGTCTCAAGATATGACTCAAACCAATAACTGCTTGTTCAGAAAAGGTGAATGGTGAATGGAGACATCTTAGACAGAGGAATATCAAATGCCTCTTTCTAGTTAAAGTCTCAGACATCAGAAACAATGACATTTACAGTAAAATTTCACTTTTGGCGAGTGACAAAACTTAGCTGCTTTTAGTTAATGGGGACAGAAAACGTTTCGAGCAGTCTTCGACATATGCAGTTTTTAGGCAATATAATAGGTGAGTAGGTATGGGGTCAGAATAGATAATTACAGTGGGTCTGTTAAAAGATCAACTTCTCTCATCTAATGTTATCTCTGCTGCATTATCACACATGTAGGCATGACTCTGCCATCCTCCAGTGGAAGTAAGGTCTTTAAATGTGCATGTGGCACCTATTCACATAAATGACGCAGTATTTCATTGTAATTAATGTATATAGTCAAAGGACTTTGATAGCTCAAGAAGAACTCACATTAAATAAAAAATGGCGCCATTTACTATAGGTCATATATGGTCAAAAATGCAAACCCATCTCCATCATGATTTTCTTTTCTTTTCTTTTCCTTTTTTGGTAAATCCCTCAGTAGTATGCTTGTTCTAGGCAGCACAATGGTGCAGTGGTTAGCATTGTCACCTCACGGCAAAAGAGTTCTCGGTTCAAACCCGTGTGGAGTTTGCCTGTTCTCCCTGTGTCATTCCAGAGACATGCAGGTGAGTTTAATTGGTGACTCTAAATTGGCTGTAGGTGTGAATGTGAGTGTGAATGGTTGTCTGTCTCTATGTGTCAGCCCTGTGATATTCTGGACACCATTCCAACGTGTACCCCGCCTCTCGCTCAATGTCAGCCGGGATAGGCTTCAGCTCCTGGTTATAGAAAATGAATGAATGAATCTTTGTTTTATAGGAACTAGAATAATCATGAATAAACTATAAAAAATATTAAATTAAATAAATAATTTCTTAGTTCATTTGATACTTTTTCCATATGCAGGTATGCTCTGATGATTGTGGGGTAGCATGTATGTTGATTTTGCCCAATGTCAAGTCTCTATTTCATCACGTGAAGAGACCATACGAGCACATCTCAAGTCTAGCCAGTGATCCTGCCTTTTAGTAGTAAGAAAGGACAAGAGAGAAACTAAGTAAGCTATTTTTCATAACTTTTTATAATATTTTTTAAAAGCATTGGAGACATAATCAGCCATTTTCAAAAAGTGGTGGGGTGTGCCCAGTGTAAATCAAACCTGTACTTTGTAGCTTACTCCAGTATATTTTACACGTGCAGGCCTGTATTTGCTCCCACTAAAGTATGTAGTGAGTCATCTTACTGTAAGTACGATCTTTGGTCAGGGGGTGTGTACGTGAGTCTTGAGGGCGGTAACCACTGCAGTCCTACTACAGTATCTGCTCCGTCTCAGATACTGTCAGTGATACTTACCGCTGCAGGGCGGCTTGTCAGATAGTACCTTTTTAATTTTTTGGACAGGTGACAGGGACCCGAGACAGATATGGCTGGCGCGGTGGCACCGAAGCGGCAGGACACCCGGAAATTTTTCGAGAATCTGTCCGGCGCTGGTAAATCCATCGGAGTGCTGACCAGCGGAGGAGATGCCCAAGGTAACGTTGTGTGGCTGGAGTTCCATCATCTGACAGCGCTGCTGGCTTTGTGTAGCCTATAGTCACGCTTCGAAGTGCTGCCAGTCAGTATTAGAAAAAATTAACTCATATTTCAACCTCATGCTGAGTGTCATTTTGTTTAAGATTACACACGACAAATGCGTTTTTTTCTCAAGCTCAAGCCAGGTCACACTTTTCCTTAATTTTTCAGTCGGCAAAATATTTTTAGCACTTCCAAATTTTAAAATTTTTTTTATTGGATGTTTGCCACCAGTAATGGATCATATTTAATCGGAGGATTGTCCGAAACACGGTAGCCAAAGACCTGTCCGATAATGGATGCCCCGCCGCAAGCTTGTGCGCTAAAGGTCCCATTACGTTACAGTTACTATCTCCTGCGAAGCTGAAACGCCTCAGTGCACCAAAGAGGAAAAGATTATTATATTCCAATAGTATAAACCTGTGTATGTATTTTTTTCATCGTGCTGCCACTCGCAATTCTACCTGAATTATTTATACGGTGTTAAATGAATCTGAATGGCGGTTACGCAACAGCTGACGCCCCCATTCACACTCCAACCTCACACATTTTACATGGATGCAAAAGTCATCCTCCGAGATAGCAGTTTGATATTAAATCAAACCATATTCATAATCCAGGCCTGGTAAAATGAACATAAGTGCATGTTGGTGCAGTTTTGGATAACTGCAGCACCAGCATCAACAAGTGATCTTGATCATTTAATCATTTAAAAGACATCTCCCTTTATATAAGGTGTTCATGCATCATGCACCATTGCATCTGTATACAGGCTGTGTTGCTTGCTGCTTAGATGTGTAGCCTATGTTTGAGCATGCGTCCCTGTGCGCATCCACGGTGCCTTCTGGTCACGTAATTGAGTCATCAGCTCACACGAGTCATTACTACAACAATTTTCTTGTGTTCCTTACTTGCTCTAGATCCGCACAATATGATTTAGATGTGTTGTATGAGCTGCTAAGAGTTTTCAGCTTTCTTTTTTGTATTATTAATCCCCATGAATACCATCTAGTTTGTTTGGATGCATAATAGTTTGGAAAAGTTCAATGAAGTACCCTTACAGTGATCAGATGTACTTCCCATGAGGAAGAAAATGTAGAAACTCGTGCCTTGCATCACTGAGGATGAGTCGTGAGAGGACCAGTGTCAAGGTAGCCAGTGTGAAACATCCAACTTCCGAGTGACCTTTCACAGTAATACCATATGTATCACTTGTCACTGCAGCCTTTTAATTTGAAAGGCGTAGTTTCTCGACTTCCGGTGTCTTTGCAAGTAACTTTCCGTCCTGTCACGGAAGGTTATGCCGCCTACGTGAGGAGCAGAGAGTACACAGTGTTTTGACGTGGTAGTGAGTAGCCTACAAGGGAATTTAAATGAATGGGAATAAACTAGTGTTATATTATGTCATTAATTAGCCTATAATATTGATAATTAATATTCATGCATTATCTCCATGAGGTGTCTTTGAGCTTCAATACTGATCTCATAACACATGATGGTGATATTGTTGCACTAGTGCTCTCATAATGCACCCGAAACATCACCAGATCATGTATTTTTCCTCATTACTACCTATATACTGGTCCATATCATGCTCTGCCATCCATACATACAGTGCTGTAGGGTAACCATAGCTATTGTTGGCCTGTTACATAACACTGTGCCTGTAGTGGAGAGATATGTTGTTTCTTATTCTCACTGCAGCGTATCACAGCACATCAGCTCCCATGCTGAGTATTACAGTGAACCTTTGTCAGTAACAGCGTATGTTCCTCCTGGCAGCGTAACTGGAACTGCACCTGATGATGTCACACATGCCTTACCAGTGTCCTGATTTTCTCCCAGTCATAACTACAGGCTGCTGGTTTGGAGTCAGGACCCCTCGTGGGCCTCACGAGATGCCACTGAGCAAAGCTGTTTTTCATTGGCATGGTCATTTCCCTGTGCATATGTGGCCCACGTCTCGCGTAGATGTCAATTCAAAAGCTGAAGATGTAAAAAATGCTGCTGTAACTGACAGATAATTATATAAACCTGAAGTTTCTGAACTATTCCATGATTAAGTGCAGTCACTAGTTTGAGAATATATTAGAATTTTATTCCGATTTTTTTAAAAAGAAATATAAAATAAATTGAATTATTTAACAAAAATAAAGAAGAAAAAACATTTGTGACAGAAGAGAGATACTGAGGGTTCCCCAAATTCTGATTTCTTTTTAATAATTCAAAACATCCTAGCAAACAGGTAACCTTCAGGGAACGTTACCTGAAGGTTAATTTTAAAAACATTTAGAGGGAGAATGTTCTCTGAATGTTCCCTTAAGGTTTTCTGAAGGATTTGGAAAAAAATGTCAGAGAACCTTTAGGGAACGCTCCCTGAAGGTTCACTGAAGATACTCTAGAGGTTTTTGAAAAACTTTTCAAGAGCGTTCTCTGAATGTTCCCTTAAGGTTCTCTATAGGTTTTGGTAAAAACCTTCAGAGAACCTCTACAGAACTTTCCTTAAAGGTTCACTGAAGGTACTCTGGAGATTTTTGAAAATCCTTTTGAGAAAGTTCTCTGAATGTTCCCTTAAGGTTCTTTAAATGTTTAGAAAAATCCTCTAGAGAACCTCTACAGAGCTTTCCCCGAAGGTTCACTGAAGGTACTCTGGAGGTTTAAAAAAAACCAAAAAAAAAAAAACCCAAACCTTTAAAGGTTCTCTCTAACGGTTTTGGAAAGAAAAAGGGAAGAGAATATTCTCTGAATGTTCACTCAAGGTTCTCTAAAGGTTTTGGGAAAAAAAACCCACCAGAGAATCTTTAGGGAAGAGGTTTCTTTAAAGAACCCTTTAAAGAACGTTCTCTAAAGGTTTTCTAGTGGTTTTGGGAAAAAAAAAATGTTGGAGTATCTTTAGGCAACGTTCCCTGAAGGTTCACTGAAGGTACTCCAGAGGTTTTTGAAGAAACTTTAAGAGAACTTTCTGTGAACGTTGCCTTAAGGCTCTCTAAAGGTTTGGAAAAAACCTACAGAGTACCTCTACCGAACTTTACCTGAAGTTTCACCGAAGAAACTCTGGAGGAAGAACCCTTTAAAGAACGTTATCTAAATGTTCTTTAACGGTTTTGGAAAAAAAAATATTAGAGAATTTTATGGGAATGTTCCCTGAAGGTTTACAGAAGGTGCTCCAAAAGTTTTTAAAAACCCTTTAGAGAAAATTCAGAGTACGTACTCTTAGGTTACCTGGAGTTTTGGAAAAATGCCCAGAGAACCTTTAGAGAATGTTCAGAGAATGTCCTCTGAAGTTTCTCTGAACGCCCCTAAAGGTTCTTTGAATTTATAACAACTCTGTCCCCAGCCTCTGTGTATGTTTATTATCATCCAGACTTAAGAATAAAATGACAATAATAATGGGAGATGTTCAGTCAGACTGGATGGAGACAGTCACAGCATGTCATGATTTGTGAGAGCAAGTTATTCCAGCTGGAAAATCACACACACACACACACACACACACACACACGCTAAGAAGAGAAATGTATAGTTCATCACCATGATACGTCATTGAGTGAAATCGCCTAATTTCTTTGTTGTATTCCTTTTTGTTAAGCTCATTAAACATTCTGTCAAATTAAAGCCCATGTCACATGTTTGCACAGATCCCCTTCAACCAATCAGCTTTGTCTTGGTCTCTTAGCAACACTAGCTCGACCCATCAGCGCTCCCATTAGCACAGTTTGCATGCTGTGTTTCCTCTGTGAAGGAAACCCCCTTTGTGCACCTAATCGTGCATGAAACCTTATTTACTTTATTTATTACGGATACAGAGAAAAACACAAAAATATCTCTGAGATTAAAAATGTAACTCAAACATTCTCTCCAGCTCGTCACTTTTGAGGATTTGCTGCATGTTTTGTTTTATGTGACCATAAACTGAATACCTATTGATTTTGGTCTGAAAATAACCCGGACATTAATAAGTTATGAAAATAATTGCAGCCCTAGCTCAGACAAAAAAAAAAAAAATCGATCAAGTTTTACAACCCTTCAACTCCCCTCAACTGTTGGTTCAAGTTTTTGTAAGTTGAGCATTATAGCTGAGACTGTATGCAACTGGAGCCAGGTGATCCGGTGTTTATTTACCAGAGCCTGAAGCAGTGTCACTGTGCCAGCCTCAGTGAAATGAGCAAGAGGGCTACGTTCTTACTAGCTGTTGTCTGTCTAAGCAAAGCCTACATCATGACATTGTCTTGCAAGGAGTAGTCACATCCCGTGCACATTCTGTAGACAGCAGCCAGTGAATGGAACGGCTTGTTCAAAGCATGCGGTGTGGGAAGAAATTTGGCACAGTGCTCTATTGGCTGCGAGGTACAGCTTGTGCCTGCTGTGCCTTGTGTTGCACATACTACTACAAACAATAGGCTCAGGAAGATCAAACGTGCCTTCCACATTCATGACGTTCATCATATCATATGAGTGTGTGTACTATCATAGAAGTGTGTGGAAATAAGCGGGGTGATTCACAGTGAGCTGGTCTTGCGATCCCTCAGGATGGGGTTTTGGAAAGTTTTGTGAACTAATGATGGACATTTGAAAAATGACTAATACATAAACTGATTATGAAAATGATCAGTTGTTGCTGTAATTTATTTGTAGTCTAATTTCCTTTAATCACAGCTCATTCTGCATGAATCAGCAATGCTGAAGCAACAAGACATCAGCAAGATACAACCTCTCTCAGCCAGTTCAGTTGCACATCAGATACTTTTATTTAATCAATCTGTACCATCAGGTCTTATAAATCTATACAATCCGCATGTTGATCGCAGACGTGGTCTAAGATTTATAGGCTTTCCTGTGTCTAATTTCACTAAGTGCTCCGACAGACACATTTGTATTTTGGCACAGTATCCTCAAGGACACTGCTGCTCCCTCTCTCTGTCTGTCTCCGTTTGACCTCTTTACCTTTCCTGTTGTCTGCTGGTCTGTCTGGCTCCTGCCACACCCTCTTTACACTGTTATTTTTACTATTAGTCTCTCTCTGTCGGTCAGTTGTGACAGACAGAGAGTGGTGATAAATCCAATGTATGGTGGCTGTATGTCCCAGTGGCAAGTCCAGTGACAAATCACCATTTCACTAGCGTTTGGCTGTAGATGTTGATGTCCTCCATTTACAGTTTATTAAACGCATGATTTTTCGATCATTTTCTAATGTATAGCTAATACTCCAGATTACTTTTTTTTTTAGTTGTCTATTTGTTTGTGCTCCTCTAGTGTATTCTCAGTTTATTTGTTTCCATTTTCTGCTGTTTGCACATCGTGTCAAACACACCATAACAGTCAGAATAACTGAGACAGACCGTTTGTTTCCATCACAACCAAAAACTCTCCTCTGTCTGTTTCCAGGTATGAACGCGGCGGTCCGGGCCGTTGTGCGAATGGGCATCTATGTTGGAGCAAAGGTGTACTTCGTCCACGAGGTGAGGCATGACTCATGGGTCAGACTCCAGACGTGGCCTCCGGGGCGTCTGCAGCCCTCTGTCACACTCGACAGTGAGCTAAATTAGTGTTGATGAGTCTTCCTAGTCGGGCTGTGATCGTCTGTGAGAGAACCGTTAGGACTCAGCTGATAAGACCTTGCATTTGCTAGCAGTCATGCATTATCTGGATGTGACTATAAAAAGGTTAAACCCAGATAACTTGAATGAAGTGTTGAGACATAAAATATGGATTTCAACAAAGGATACTTTTAAATTAAAATAACAATTAATGAACAAAAACAAAATTTCTGTCCTCAAAGGCTTTCTAAAGTGCTCATTTATTGTCATATTGGGGATGATTTGATTAAAAAAAAAACACCCAAAAAACATTGTATTGTAACTGTGATGCATATCACAGTGCTTTGTCGCTTGCAGAAAGAGGTCCTGACTCTTCCTCTCGTTCCCCAGAGGAAAATTGTACTTCCTGCTTATTGCTGAAACTATTTGGACTCCCTATGAGGTTAGTCTATATTTATATCCAGCTGGGAGAAGGGTGAAGATTTGCATTCATATGGATACTTAATGTACAACACAGATCTTATGATGGTTAACACCGGCTTGTAGGGGTAGTATCAGGATATTTCAGGGTGTTTTGCAATAATGATAATTTTGACAATTTGACAAATTAGTGAAAAACAAGTTATTATTAGTTTAAGAACAATGAACAGCTGACCTTCAAATATTCAGTTAAAACTAAACAAAAAGGTTAGTTTGTAAACAACAACAGTAACTCAGCGTGAGATTCAGATTCTATATATCTGTATATGTAAATCAACAGGTGATTTCCTTCTCTTAAATAACTGAGTTGTTCCTTTTCCATCTGGACCTTTATGCTCTGCCATTTCTCCTCTAATCATCACACTGTAACCTGTGACAGGCTGTTATGCTATGATAACTGTCGCACAGTCACATACAGTACAGGCCAAAAGTTTGGACACACCTTCTCATTCAATGCGTTTTCTTTATTTTCATGACTATTTACATTGTAGATTCTCACTGAAGGCATCAAAACTATGAATGAACACATGTGGAGTTATGTACTTAACAAAAAAAGGTGAAATAACTGAAAACATGTTTTATATTCTAGTTTCTTCAAAATAGCCACCCTTTGCTCTGATTACTGCTTTGCACACTCTTGGCATTCTCTCCATGAGCTTCAAGAGGTAGTCACCTGAAATGGTTTTCCAACAGTCTTGAAGGAGTTCCCAGAGGTGTTTAGCACTTGTTGGCCCCTTTGCCTTCACTCTGCGGTCCAGCTCACCCCAAACCATCTCGATTGGGTTCAGGTCCTGTGACTGTGGAGGCCAGGTCATCTGCTGCAGCACTCCATCACTCTCCTTCTTGGTCAAATAGCCCTTACACAGCCTGGAGGTGTGTTTGGGGTCATTGTCGTGTTGAAAAATAAATGATCGTCCAACTAAACGCAAACCGGATGGGATGGCATGTCGCTGCAGGATGCTGTGGTAGCCATGCTGGTTCAGTGTGCCTTCAATTTTGAATAAATCCCCAACAGTGTCACCAGCAAAACACCCCCACACCATCACACCTCCTCCTCCATGCTTCGCAGTGGGAACCAGGCATGTGGAATCCATCCGTTCACCTTTTCTGCGTCTCACAAAGACACGGCGGTTGGAACCAAAGATCTCAAATTTGGACTCATCAGACCAAAGCACAGATTTCCACTGGTCTAATGTCCATTCCTTGTGTTTCTTGGCCCAAACAAATCTCTTCTGCTTGTTGCCTCTCCTTAGCAGTGGTTTCCTAGCAGCTATTTGACCATGAAGGCCTGATTTGCGCAGTCTCCTCTTAACAGTTGTTCTAGAGATGGGTCTGCTGCTAGAACTCTGTGTGGCATTCATCTGGTCTCTGATCTGAGCTGCTGTTAACTTGCGATTTCTGAGGCTGGTGACTCGGATGAACTTATCCTCAGAAGCAGAGGTGACTCTTGGTCTTCCTTTCCTGGGTCGGTCCTCATGTGTGCCAGTTTCGTTGTAGCGCTTGATGGTTTTTGCGACTCCACTTGGGGACACATTTAAAGTTTTTGCAATTTTCCGGACTGACTGACCTTCATTTCTTAAAGTAATGATGGCCACTCGTTTTTCTTTAGTTAGCTGATTGGTTCTTGCCATAATATGAATTTTAACAGCTGTCCAATAGGGCTGTCGGCTGTGTATTAACCTGACTTCTGCACAACACAACTGATGGTCCCAACCCCATTGATAAAGCAAGAAATTCCACTAATTAACCCTGATAAGGCACACCTGTGAAGTGAAAACCATTTCAGGTGACTACCTTTTGAAGCTCATTGAGAGAATGCCAAGAGTGTGCAAAGCAGTAATCAGAGCAAAGGGTGGCTATTTTGAAGAAACTAGAATATAAAACATGTTTTCAGTTATTTCACCTTTTTTTGTTAAGTACATAACTCCACATGTGTTCATTCATAGTTTTGATGCCTTCAGTGAGAATCTACAATGTAAATAGTCATGAAAATAAAGAAAACGCATTGAATAAGAAGGTGTGTCCAAACTTTTGGCCTGTACTGTATATGTAGTTTTTTGTCGAGCTGCGAGCGTCACGTAGGTTTACATTACTAAAGGTTTATGACAAAATGACTTGACAACACTGACTCCCATGTGCTGCTGCCGGAGGAGCCGCTGAATGAGTTCCCTCTTAGCGCTTAAAGAGTCTGAGAAGTCCAGGGCTGTTCATAAACTTTCAGGACGCCCAGGCCTAACGACACCACAGTTTATTTCACAGGGATTTAGGGTTACCATAATTTCACTTTCAGCCATGCTTGCTGTTGCCGTGGGTAACAGTATCCCGTCAATATGTCAACAAGTCGAAATATGGCACAACCCTACTGGCTCGTTTGTTGTGAATAGCTGAATTTTCAAATGCATTCATCTTCAATATTGCCAACTCATACATAGTCTTTAGGTGTGTTGAGTTTGGTGACATACAGATCAGTGGTTCATAGTTGACCATGCGTGGCCATTTTGCTCTACACCAGTTTGATCTAGCTATCAAAAGTCATTCCTATTTCAGTAAAGCTAGTTTCATATTTTCACATTTTCTTCATTTGATTTGGCCTGAATAAAATCCACCAGCTCATAGAGAGTGCACTTTCATCACGAGAATAATTTGTGCTCCTGTTTTTCATATTAATGGCTCTTGTGCGGAGATAGTTGTACTCATTTACAAAATATAAAACACCCCCAGTGTTTTTTTGTTGCACCTTAAATCAGGTTTACATGTGTATTCTATCATTACACATAATGCTACTTACTTCTTATAGACAGTAAATAAATATAGCGTTCATCTTGTCTTAAAATGACATTTGATATGCAGCTTTGAGGGCTTTGTTCCCACCGGTGTCATCCATGCCACACTACAACCATTCAAGGTACACTGAATTACACCATATCTGTGGGATACAAAGAAAACACACTGCTGGTGCTTTAAATAGTTAGAAATGGTATGATTCATTCATCAGAAAAGAAAAGCAACAACAAATCCCTCTTTTATTAACATCATTAAAGTTGTTTAATATCGAACGTCTGAGAATATATGTGCAGTTTGAATGGGCATGACGCCATTGATGGCAGTGACGGGCAGAGAAAGATGATCTGGTCTCAGTGTTGATATAATTGGATTACCAGGGGCAGACTTCATCCTTCACTGGCTGCACTGTCATCCCCATCAGCCTCGAATTCCCACTGGGCCGCGAGTAATGACAGCTGAGTGCCATGACGCCTTTACTTTGGCTTGGACTCTGGCGGGAAGTTTGGATCAGCGTTCACAACACTGTGAATAAACAAAAAGGAACATTCATTTGAACATTTCGTGCTGAAATTATTTGCAGATGAATCAGTTATTTGAGTAACGGAAAATCAAGAAAGTCATTTATCAAGCAAAAATGGCAAACGTACTCGGGTTCCAGCCTCTTAAAAGTGAGGATTTTTCTTTTCTTATGTAAGTGCGAAACAACATTTGTCATTTTTGTTTTGGGGAAGTTATGATTGTATGGGATTTTTTACTACTTACTGATGTATTATAGACTAAATAATTAATTAAATAGTTTTAAAAAATAATCATTGATGGATTGAAATAACATTTATCTGCAGTCCTAAGCATATGACGGCTCAGGATGAGAATAAAATGACCCATAGTTACATTATTTAGGGCTGTACCTGGCTCATTATTATGTCAGTTGAATCAGATCTGACTGTTCAGTATGAATATTTGGCTATTCTTTTCTTTTTTTCTTTTTTCATGTGGAGTCTGAGAGAGTTTGAACAAGGTTTTGCAGGATGCTCAGGATGACAGTGACAAGCAACGTTAGCCTTCTGAGCTAATGTGGGCTAACTGCGCTAATGACGGATCGTATATGTGCAACAACATTTTTGTTGACACTAGATATCAAACAAAAGCCAGAGACTGTGTTGTATTAAGTTGCTGTGAGCTTTAAATTCACAATAACTGTAATGTTATCTCAGATCTTGACCAGATCTCTTCCCGCGGGCAGCTGCCTCCGTCTCACTCAGACTCCCCCAGGGGTCTGGGTCCACAGCTGCCTGTGCCAGAGGGCAGCAAAAAAGCAAGGAGCGCTCACTCTGCAGCTAAATCTAGGGACTGAAACATCCCCAGATGTACAACATCAGCTGCTCGACTTGAAAAATGTCGGTCAACTGAGGGGTCTAGGACTAATAACTTTCAGGGGACACTCCTTCAATATTTTTTTTCCATAGGAGTCATTTATCATATTTGTCTGTCCTCTCAGGGGTACCAGGGGATGGTGGATGGAGGAGACAACATCAAAGAGGCAACGTGGGAAAGCGTCTCCAGCATGTTGCAAGTGGTGAGCAGAGCTTTGTGCTTCTGTTTCAGGTCACATACTTTTAAAATAGTTGCATCAGGCTGAAATAAAACTATCTGTATTTCCTCTTCTGTGCTGTGAACTATGAAACCCTTAAATCCAGCTATCATTTAAACACTTGACCCTGTGTTAATGTTAATTATCGCTGTTTATGTTAGCACCATGACATGCTGTCTGACAGAGGAGCAGCAGTATTTAAGCTTGAGCAAACACAGTGGAATATTTGCTAAGTTGTTGGACATCTGTGATGATGATCATTGGTAGTGACTCAGCAATAATGCTTTGAGCTTTGAGCCTAATGAGCCTGTGATCAAATTAGATTGTTTTACCATTTGTCATGGTCAGACTGTAATTGTCTAAAGTGGATTTAGTGCCACAGTGACAAAATATTTATCTTGTAAATGAGCAGTGGAAGCCAGCAGAAGAGACTTGTGTAATTTCTGATTGTAATTTGAATTTCCCTCAGGGTGGCACAGTCATCGGCAGCGCCCGCTGTAAAGAGTTTCGTACCCACGAGGGCCGCTTGAAAGCCGCACACAACCTTGTGCAGCGCAGCATCACCAACCTGTGTGTGATTGGTGGAGATGGCAGCCTGACTGGAGCCAACCTGTTCAGAGAGGAGTGGAGCGGCCTTTTGGATGAGCTCGTCGAACAAGGTGATCGCTCACTGCATGGCTTTCAGTCGACGTTACATGCCACAGCACTCAAACTTTAAAGGTGTTAAGAGATTTTATGTCTCTCAGGTCTCATCAGTAAGGACGCAGCCGAGGCTAACTCGATGCTCCACATTGTTGGCATGGTCGGCTCCATTGACAATGACTTCTGCGGCACCGACATGACCATCGGCACTGACTCGGCGCTGCACAGGATCATCGAGGTGGTGGACGCCATCATGACCACTGCTCAGAGGTGAACAAATCCTGAGAGGAGATGAGACGAGTAGAGATGTGACAGGATGACCAAGACAACTTGACAAGATGCGATAAGACATAGCAAGACAAGACATAAAAAGACTAGCTAATTTAAGACATAACTTAGGGAGACAATGATGTATTTTAACAAATGAGTCCACAGGGTTTCACTGTTCTGACATTTCTTTTGTTTTTCATTATTTTCAGCCACCAGAGGACATTTGTGCTGGAGGTCATGGGCAGACACTGCGGGTAGGCTCTTCATCCTCCTCTGTCAGAGTACATCAAATCAAATCAAATCAAACTTTATTTGTATAGCACTTTTCATACATAAAAAATGCAGCACAAAGTGCTTCACAGAATAAAAACATACAACAAAAATACTACATACATATTGAAAACCCGCCCCTCCCTCCCCCACATATAAACACACACACACACACACACACACACACACGGTCAATATAGTCAGTAACATGGCTGGGCACTGAGGAACCAGGTGAGGAAAGAACCACCTATGGGGAGCTCATCCACACTGAGAGGTGTCACAGCCTATGGCCATAGGGAGCGCCACCACAGAGACCACCCCAACCCAGACAGACCAGGGTAGACTCCACACATGGTGCAGAGCCTCCCAGTCCTGAGGAATCTCCAGGACGACATCCCTGTGGGCAGACCGGACACACCTCTCAGCGTGGAGGCCCCCCATTAGGAAACACTGGAGCTAAAAACTAAAAGACTAAAAGGCAATATGATAAGATAAAACAAGTATGAGATAAAGTAATGATAAAATGCATAAAAATTTAAGGATTTAGAAAAAAAAAAGATTTAAAGATTAGAATGATATTAATAATAAATAAATAAATAAATGAAGACTTAGAAACTTAATAATAATAAAATGCATAAAGATTTAAAAAATAAATAATTTAAAAGCATTAGAAATTAAAATAACATATAATAGAAGAATTAAAAAAGAGTAAAAGAAATCAGTTAAAAGCCAAACTAAAAAGGTGAGTCTTGAGCCTCCTTTTAAAAACATCAACAATCTCTGCAGTCCTGATGCTCTCCGGCAGGCTGTTCCATAAGTGAGGGCCATGATGGCTCAATGCAGCCTCCCCATGGGTTTTTGTTCTGACTTTTGGAACAATTAAAAGGCTGTTACCTCAGGATCCGTGAGGTGTGATATGATAAAAGCAGGTCAGATAAATAAGATGGCCCAAGACCGTTAAGACATTTAAAAACTAATAAAAGAACCTTAAAATCGATCCTGAAACACACAGGGAGCCAATGCAGTGATCTTAAAACCGGTGTAATGGATAATAATGGATAATGGACAGAGAGATAGAAATATCATACATATAAAAACATATATATATATACACACAACACTGTGCATTGTCTTAAAGTTAAACATGCTACTGCACACACTAAGTCTCCATAACCAAACAATCATGGCTCAGTAAAAATATTTCAAGTGTTCACTTTTTCAAGTGTGGAAAATGCATGTGTGTGAGTCTGTTAAGGCTGTGTAGACGAAATATATCATGGCTAGTGTTTGTTACAGAGAAGTAAAGATTCAAAATGTGTGTGTGTGTGTGTGTGTGTGTGTGTGTGTGTGTGTGTGCGCAGATACTTGGCCCTGGTCAGTGCCCTGGCATGCGGAGCAGACTGGGTATTTATCCCAGAAATGCCTCCTGAAGATGGCTGGGAGGATAGCATGTGTCAGAAACTGTCTGAGGTAACACACACACACACACACACACACAAAAACAAACAAAAAAAAAACATAAGCAGACAGTAAGTCATGAATTTACAGCTGTATAAAGCTAGCGACTCTGGTGGGACTCGAACCCACAACCTTTGAATCACATCTCAAGTGCTTGACTAGAAGTCCAATGCGCTATCCATTGCGCCACAGAGCCTGTTAAAAGGTGTCCTTGAACATATGGTATGGCTTATGTGTCACTTTCAGGAAAAGATGACCACATCTGTGGGTTGTTTGACTTAACTTTTTACCTTATATACTGTAAACACAGACCCCAGAGAGTATCTGTACAGCTTTCATCTGTACAACTTTCATTTCGTCAAAGAAATATCTGCTAAGCCTGCCTGCGTGGTGCTAATATTATCACAACAGAGGACACTTACCCTCTGTAACTGACACGCTGCTCAGTTGGGAAGCTGTGGCACTCGTGTCAAAGACATGTCTTTCCTGGAATTCAAGCCCATGTTGCGTAGAAAGGTGTTTCAGCATATTGCTGGTGTTTCCAGCCTTACTTAAAATGATCACTTTACAGACATTACAGTAGTGAGGCCACGCTTTTGTCTGTTTCTTCCTCAATGACGTCAGGGATTTCATAGGCTCAGAGGAATACAACTCCCATGGATCAGTCATTCTGGAAGCAGTACTTGATTCCCATCCTTAACAAGGAAATGGAAGTATGCACCAGTGACTTGTTTGTGATGAAGATTCATTAATAGTCATGTCTTTAACACTGTAAAGAAGTGACTCTGGTGGGACTTGAACCCACAACCTTTGAATCACATCTCTGATGATTGACTAGAAGTCCAACACGCTATCCATTGCGCCACAGAGCCTGTTATATGGGCAAAAATAATCACACATAGAGCTTACTAGACAGTGTCTTCAATCAAATTTCATGTAGGGAATTTGAAGTGCATGCTAGCAGCTAATAGAGCTTGTATGTAATGAAGATTTATCTATAAGAGGATCAGGAGGAGTCACGTGTTTGTGTCTTAAACTCAACTCAACTTTTTTTTAAACATACTGTAAAAATGATCCCACCAAAATTAAACTGAAGTCAGAGCCAGCCGCTAAAGAAGCTTGTTTGTGATTAATGCACAGACATGATTTTAACATGACTTACACTGTAAAACACCATGTACATCCAAGTGTAAAACAACAACTCAAGTGGGACTCAAACCCACAACCTTTGAAGTATACCTCTGATGCTTGACTCAAAGTCCAATGCACTATCTATTGTGCCTCAGAGTCAACAGCGACCTGAGGTGCTTTTACAAAATACCCTCTCTTACCAAGTTGTGCATACCACATCAGTTGGGTTTTGTCTCAACTTCACTTATAAACACCACCACTTAAAGGCACCATTTAATTGGTCGCAGCTGTGAAATTGAAATGCCAAAGCTCCATGTTTGTAATAAAGATTCATGCACAGGAGGAGTCACGCAAATATTTTCTCTCTAAAACCCTAACTTAACTTTTATTGTAAACACTTTAAAGATACACTATGCAGGATCTCTCTCTAAAACAATGTATAGACTAATACAAATATAATCCCTCTCATCCGTATTACCAGAAGTGTGTGGCGGTGTTTTTATCTGCAAAGACTCTGCCCTCTGCTTGTATTTGCCTGACGTTCCTGCGCACAGCACGCAGCTGAGGTCGGGGGTTTTATAAAAAGGTAGCGACCAGGTGCTGGAATGTAAGCAGCACGCATTCAAGAGGTAGCTGCAAAAATCTCAGACAGCGCAGAAAAAAACTGCAAATGTCGGAGTAGATGCTGGTCTACACTCAGTTTTCACTAAGAAAGCAGAGTGGTCGCTAGCAGCTAAGGGAGCCTGTTTATGATACAGTTGTCTCAAAGTCTCTATTTATAATGTAGTGACTCTGGTGGGACTCGAACCCACAACCTTTGAATCACATCTCAAGTGCTTGACTAGAAGTCCAATGCGCTATCCATTGCGCCACAGAGCCTGTTAAAAAGTGTCCTTGAACTTGCAGATATGACATGAACTGGCCAACTTGCCACTTTCAGGGAAAGATGACCACATCAGTGGGTTGTTTGACTTAACTTTTTACCCTATATACTGTGAACACAGACCCCACAATGAGTCACACACATTTGTTTCTTCAACTTATATTTCTGTAAATACTATAAAAATGATCCCACTGAAAAGCATCGATCAAAGGAATGGGAATTGATCGGATTTTATTGATACCAGTGCCGTTATTGGTTCTGCTTATCGGTTCAATTCTGTATTGGTTCGCTCATAGATTCCTGATCAATTCAAGCCCATGTTGCGTAGAAAGGTGTTTCAGCATATTTCTAGTGTTTCCAGCCCTACTTAAAATGATCACTTTACAGACGTGTAGCCACGCTTTTGTCTGTTTCTTCCTCTCTGTCGTGAATGTCAATGACGGCAGTTTGGCATCATTGTGAAAAGCATAAACGCTATCAATAGGCTCAGAGGAATACGACTCCTATGGATCGGACATTTTGGAAGCGTTACTTGATTCCCATCCCTAATTAGGAAATGGAATCATGCACCATCAACTTGTTTGTGATGAAGATTCATGCACAGTCATGTCTTTAATGTGACAAACACTGTAAAGAAGCAACTCTGGAGGGACTCGAACCCACAACCTTTGAATCACATCTCTGATGTTTGACTAGAAGTCCAACGCACTATCCATTGCGCCACAGAGCCTGTTATGTTGTGAAAAATAATTACTAGACAGCGTCTTCAATCAAATTTTATGTAAGGACATTGAAGTGCATGCTAGCAGCTAAAGAAGCTTGTTTGATAATAAAAGATTGCCACCAAACCCAGGAATACCACTTACTAGTACTTGAGTCCCATCCGTAACAAGGAAATGGAAGTATGCACCAGCGACTTGTTTGTGATGAAGATTCATAAACAGTCATGTCTTTAACACTGTAAAGAAACGACTCTGGTGGGACTCGAACCCACAACCTTTGAATCACATCTCTGATGTTTGACTAGAAGTCCAATGCGCTATCCATTGCGCCACAGAGCCTGTAAAAAGGACCCCTTGAACTTGCAGATATCATATAAACTGGCAAACTCATGTCAAAGACACGTCATTCCTGGAATTCAAGCCCATGTTGCGTAGAAAGATGTTTCAGCGTATTGCTGGTGTTTCCAGCCCTTCTTAAAATTATCACTTTATAGACATTACAAGCAACGCTGTTGTCGTATTTGTCTGTGTAGTGAAGCCACGCTTTTGTCCACCATCTAAAAGCACCATTTGATTGGTGGCAAGTGGGAAATTGATATCAGAAAACACCATGTTTGTAATAGATTCATCTAAAAGAGGAGTCACACAAATATTTTCCCTGTAAAACCCTAACTTAACTTTTACCATAAACACTTTGAAGATATACTATGTAGGATCTTTCTAAAAAACAATATATAGACTCATACAAATATAATCCCTCTCATCCATCAATTATTCATCAATATTACTGGAAGCATGTGGCTGTGTTTTTATCTGCAGAGACTCTGCCCTCTGCTTGTATTTGCCTGACGGTCCTGCGCACAGCATGCAGCTGAGGTTGGGGCTTTATAGAAAGGTAGCGACCAGGTGCTGGAATGTAAGCAGCACACATTCAAGAACCTGTTTAAGATTGAGATTAATGAACAGGAACACAGAGATTGTTGTCTCAAAGCTACTATTCATAATACAGCAACTCTGGTGGGACTCGAACCCACAACCTTTGAATCACATCTCATGTGCTTGACTAAAAGTCCAATGCTCTATCCATTGCGCCACAGAGCCTATAGATGGTTGATATATGCAGGCAGACACACACACACACACACACACACACACACACACACACACACACACACACACACACACACACACACACACACACACACACACACACNCACACACACACACACACACACACACACACACACACACACACACACACACACACACACACACACACACACACACACACGCACTCACTGACTTTTCAACACAGTTTGACATTGATATTAGATCATCAGATGATTTGAAGAACAGTATACAGAACATTTAACTTTGTAAAGTATATAGTCATCTATTACCAGTATACATTTTGCATAATCTGACACTTCCTGATGAATTTACAGCAGATTTGATGTGGTGAGTGTGTTTGTCATATCACCCAGAGCCGATCACGAGGTTCCAGGTTGAACATTATCATAGTTGCTGAAGGAGCCATTGACAGACAAGGACAACACATTACTTCAGATTTTGTGAAGGATGTGAGTAGCGCTCAGTTTCAGACTGGCGCAGAGGAGAAACCAGAAGCTGGACCAACTGGTGGATAGCAATATGTCTGAAAAACAGAAGTCAATGACATTTACAGTACAGCAATTTTGTCAGTGTTTTAACTTTTTTCCTTTAATCCAGACACTTGCCACATTCTGAGGGAAGGTTTTATGTATTATTCATTTATTATTTAGATTTTTTGCAAAAAAAATAAAAATAAAAAAATCTTTTGCACCAGTTTTTACTTTCGAGATGTTTACTTTGAATTATCTCCATCTTTGACTGTCATGCTTGTACTGAAAATGAAACTGTGATTTACCTCAAACACTGGCCTGTCTGTCAGAGGTCCCTTTGTTTGCAGTTTCACTGACTGAAAACTGGTGGCAGCAAAGTGGATCTTAGTCAAAAAAGAAGGTTGCTTGCTGGGGAAGTCATTGCGAATGTATTGGGGTAATCAGCAGAGGTTTCAAAATACTCATAATGTTTTAAGAAGAAGAAAAGTTATTCAGCTCATTTGTTAGGCTCCAGGGATTTTGGTGAGAAACACTACATGTGAACTCAATTGTTTGTTTAAAATAAAACCCCACATGGTATCTTCAAGCTTACCCTTCTGTCTAATATCTTGCCAGAAGTAGGTACCAGAATTAGTTTTAATGATGTGCTGTCAGGCCTTCTCTGCAGGAGGATAATCATTGTGTCACGTCTGAAGTACATTTTCCATTTGCCCTTCAGTTTCCCAGCAGTGCTAGCACGCCTCATTAAGAACAAACTGCCCCAGCAAGCTGTAACGTTAGATGGGAAACTTCCTCCACAATGTGACAAGTGCCTACTGAAGAAAGACAACCAACCAAATGTCAAAACGCCTTGGTGTTCTTTACGGACATGAAGGTTTATCAACACTTGACTATCCTCCATTACAGGATCCAGCTTCTGGCAATGCAAAATGTTCTCTGTCATGTTTTTGAATGCTTTGCTTCTTTATATCCCTTTAGAACCGCGCCGATAAGAAAAGGCTGAACATTATTATTGTAGCTGAGGGTGCCATAGATTGCCACAACAAGGCAATAACTCCTGATTATATCAAGGATGTAAGTACAGTGGACAAGCCTGGTCAAGTCATGGACCCACAAACTCTCCTTCAGTATCACATGCTTTTTTCCCCCTTCTTAAGGACCCTCTCACTTATTATTTCTTGATTCCATATATCCCTAAGGCATTTATATATATTTTATTCCACTTCCACCCCACATCACTGTGTTTGCACCTTTATTTTTCATTTCTGCAAGTTCACTTTTTCTGCATGCACATTATTTGGCACTTCCTAAGATGGTAACGTGACAGGAGATGTTTTGCATGGTTTCTCTCTCTGTGTTTTTTTCCTTTTGCTTGTCACTTTTATTTCTGCGTTTCTTTAAATTACATAGCATCCTTTACAAGATGCTATGTAATTTCACAAAGAATCAGTGATATAAAATGCTATGTTAGTTGACTGTGTTGTGATTTTATGTGTTTAAACTTAAGTAAGAGCAACTGTTTGTCGGAATATGTTTTCATGATGTGTCTCTGTAATCTTTGGACCCTTTCATGTACAGCTGTTTTTAGCTTAATCGCACTAAAATATGATAAGACAATAATTTACAGTAGATTTAACAGGACATTATTGTAGACATGTTGTATACATTGACCCCATAAACCTCACTGTATGCTGTCATCCCACTTCGCTCTCCCTCCACATCAAGCTGGTGGTACGCTGCCTGGGTTTTGACACCAGGGTGACCATCCTGGGCCACGTGCAGAGAGGTGGGACACCCTCTGCCTTTGACAGGATTCTGGTAAGTCATGGTTTATTCAATACTTCTCTATGGTGAAAAAACCCTAACTTGATTATTTACTTATATTGCAGACACCTTGCAGATTGATATTAACCTTAAATTACCTTCACAGGCCAGTCGTATGGGCGTGGAGGCAGTGCTGGCGTTACTGGAGGCCTCAGCCACCACCCCGGCCTGCGTTGTGTCTCTGGTTGGCAACCAGGCTGTCCGACTACCACTTATGGAGTGTGTTCAGATGGTAAGTGTGCATGATGAAGAGACAGAGGTCGACTCCACAGGGCATCAAGTGTGCTCTGCATAGAACAGAAAATGAGATTAATGACTTGTCCATACCCATTGAGTGCACAGTTGCCCATATACAGTTTCACATGTTGTGTGTTTGGGATACAGGTCATAGGAAATTGCAGATTAAATAGTCAACTGAACCCATTAAGAAGAGCAATGTATTCAGACAGAGTTTTTGTGAATTTGATAGTACGATTGCTTTATTGAAAGTACAGTAGTACCATTGCCAATAGTGGCATACTTAGTGGGCTAAAACTGTACATTAGTAGTTGAGGTAAAAACATTGGGTCACAGGGGGAGCCACAGTGATCGGTCGCATTTGAGCCATTTTTAAGCATTTTTCTGCTGTTATAGCGCCACCCAGTTGCCAATTAGAGTTACATTTCTCCAGTCACCTTGAGGCATCCTGTTCTACATATCTACCAAGTTCAGTAAAAATCGATATGGCGGTTAGGCCTAGATAAGAAATTAGCTCTCTAGCGCCCAAATTTTGTTTGATGGGGTCAATAATGGAGGGGTCCCCTCAGATTATGTGTGGTCATATGCCTACAAAGTTGCGTGGTGATCGGTGAAACCCTTGAGATGTTATACACCTTTATGTGATGAGCCACGCCCTCCGCAATATTCATTGCCTTATAGAAGCTCAGTTTTAGTAAGTTTTCCAACTTTTGCCAAGAGGGAACTTTAGATATTGGTCCCTAGATTATGTTCACCAAGTTTCATATTCAGATAGAGCAAAGAAATAATGCCACTCATACCTAAACAGACTTATAGGCCTGTTACAAGTGAAAAGACTGGCATATTTTGACCTGTATGATGATGAGGCTCTTTTATATCTTGTCATCAGACCCAAGAGGTGCAGAAGGCCATGGATGAGAAGAAATTTGACGAGGCTGTGAGACTGCGTGGCAGGTATTTTTTTTAACTTTGGCTACTTTGATATGATCAAATATAGGGTTAATTTCCTTACAAACAAGTTTAAAGTTGCAAAGAAGTCACTTACTTTTTCTTCTTGTTCTAGTACGATCTTGGACAGATTCCAGATAGCACTCACTCTTGTCTGTTCAGCACTGTGCCCTGTTTTAACATTCATTGCATTGATTTTCACTTGACTCAAAAGGTTTTTTCCACAGCATTGACAGAGCTGACACACATTGTGGATTTACTACACTTTGTTTTTAATGTCTGTCATCTGCAGGAGCTTTGAAAACAATCTGACCACCTACAGACTCCTCTCCTACCGGAAAGCAGATTCTGAACTTCCAAATGTAAGTAACCTCACGAGCAAATAAAAAATAAAAAACAATGATTATATTATATCAATGAGATTATCACAATTTTAATTCTTCTAATGTATCTTTCCCACCAGCGTCTCTGTGATTTGTACGCTAGCATAAGGTACTTCCTGGTCAGGTGCCTTGTGAATGCTGCAATCTTTTTGTGACACTAATTACCTGTTTTTCTGTGACTGTCTCTGTCCTGAGGGAGAGGAGGAGGCGGGGGATGAAGAGCAGTCTGATGTATGTAATGAGTAATAAGGCCGCAGCTGAGCAGGCCCTAGGTCAGCTTCTGCAGGCGTAGTTCATAGAGCAGATGAGCCTCACAGCAACTAGTTGAGACCTTTTCATTCATCCTCTTTATTACTCACCCTAGCTCCCAGTTCCCCCATGCTGAGATAAAACGCTATTAGAACTATGAGTAGATTTTAGTATTTTCTATGCGTTTTTATTTTACAGAGACAAAATCACATATGTTTATACAGTGCCACAAAATGACAGTGCCAGTGCTCATCATCTGTCGCTCTGTCTGTCATTGCTTATTTCTTCATGGCTCTGCTTAGAAGAAGAAGTGCAGACATGCAAAGAGTTGCATTAGTTCTTCAATGCAGTCACTGTCAAGGACAATCACAGCGTCAACTGTGATCTGCTTCAAATGAACCCGAAGTAGCCCTCCTTACAGTTTAATGTCAAGTCTGTGGAGAATAGTGTCTTTGCTTGTTCATAACTCAAACTGGACAGGCTCCACGCTCTTTCTGTTATCAAGACTAGGTCAAAATCCAGTATATGGCTGGACCATGAAATGTTAGAGGGCTTTTAATTTGAAACAGGAAGTGGCATTCACTTAATCACAGACTTTGCCCCACTGTTGTGGTCCAGCCCAAAAATTCATGTAAATACATGTGAAAATGAAGAACAATCATTAGACACAATAACACAGCAGCAGGGACCTGCTTTCTCTGGAGCTGTAGCTACCCACTGATAATTTGACACAACCCTCTTTTCTTCAGCTCTAGTCAGTGATGTACGTCCCCATGTGGCTGATGGAAGCTGCACAGTCATCGGCCACTATCACAGCCAAGTTCAGCTGATGACAAAGATTTGTAAAATGTCCTATGGGAGCTGATTAATCGGTCAAACTGATTAATTATTCAACCTTTAGTGACAGGTTGTTACTGAGGTGGTGGCACCCATTTCAAATTGTAACACCAAAATATTTTATTTACTCATAAATTTGATTTAAGGCTCTTGTATGATTAAGACATGGCTGTTCCTCAAGCATATTGATGAGGCGACCCTGTCTTTCCTCAGTCTTAAACTGCCATTTCGATGATGGCTAGCTAGTTTGTTAGCTTTCTTGCTAATTCCACTATGCTTTTATGTTAACGTTAAAATGGCCGAACAAAGCTGTCTTTCATCTGACAAAAGAAATGTGCTTTCTTAAGCTGTGAATGTGTGGATGAAGCATTAAGTTTAAAAAATTTGCTCATGTAGCAGCTAGCTAGCTAGCTATTTTCACCATGCTATCATGCTACACTGGTTACAGACAATGAGGGATACAGATACAGGGCTGTCAGCGCCTGTTCATTTTGCCAATGGCGAAACATAAACACTCATGTCATCACTCACTCCAACCAATGGCCATGACTGACTGACTGACTCATTCACGGACAGACTTTATAGTGCCGGCCTTGCATGCTGCAGTGCAGCCAAAACATGGTCGCTGGCTAGAAATTACAGCTCTGGTTAGGTTAACTTTGAATATGACGTGGAAAATAAATGTGAGAGCCACTATACTGGGGAGTCAAACAATCATGGTTCACACATATGACACTGGATTTACAATGTTGATATTACTGTAAAAAAATAATTGAAAACCTTTGGAAAAATGTAGTCATGCTGAGAATATGGTAAATTCCTCCTGAAACATGTTTAAAAGACTTTAGATAGAGATACAATGCTTACCCTGGATATATTTTGAAGATTAATGTTGGTGCCAAGGCAAATGCTTTCTTTAAATTAAAGAAAACATGCTGGACCTCTCAGTACATTAGTGTTTACAGCTGTTGTCACATGCAGTCATCTGGGCTTTGCCTAAAAATAGTCTACAGTCTCAGCAAAGTTATGATAAAGACAGGAAGTGTTTGATATAACAACTGGTATACCAGACCAAGAAACTGTCCAAGACTGCACTCCATTTGTGAAGTTCATCTGCAGAGAGTTGGATGTCTGTCCATTTTGAGCTTCTCCACATCGTTTGTCTTCATGCACTCAATTATCCTGTCAGACAATTGCGGGATAAAAACTGTCAAGAACCATCATTCACTCGCAGCAGACACACCAAATACCAATAAAGCCTTTGTGGCTGAGTGTATGAGGCTTCCATCCATGTGTGGGTCATGCACACACAACTTGATAAGCTTCACCTGAAATATGGGCCACGTGCACTTTGATATCAGCGGTTAAATGTTGCTTCGATTGTGCCCTAAATTATTTTCACCCAGCTCCTAGTGACACAGACGACTTGAGTTTAAATAGCAAGAAAACGTTGCATATCCTTTAGTGAATGTTTGCATTTGACTGTTGATATATTCAGTGGTTGTCATGAGAAAGCAGCTGCTGCTTCATTGCGTCTTTTAGCAGCATGTGGCTTCTTGCATGCAAGGTCAATTGTCCCTGCTGCTGTCTTGCCTGGCTCTTCAGCAGTTAATGACACATGGATGATGTTGTCAGACGGAGGCAGACAACTGTCCTGTCAGGCATGGAGAACAATAATTTACCAACTTCCCGTCTGCTATAAAAATCACTGCTCGTCTTCATTGCCTCTTAAAGTTGCTGATATACCATCTTCTTCAGCCTGAGCATGATGCTGTGATTGTACACACTCATGTCTGAGGTGTGAAGATGATTAAAATGTGACAAAGCTTGGGGTTGTTACAAGATACGGCAATACTTTGTGCAAGTATGCCAGGTTTTGCTCTCTCCACTGTGTGTCATTTCTGAGCGTAGTGTGTGTGACTGCTGCTTTCTGTCGTCAATAGAGCTCCTTCAATGTTGCGGTGCTGAATGTCGGCGCGCCGGCAGCAGGTATGAACGCCGCCGTGCGTTCTGCTGTCAGGGTGGGAATCACTGAAGGCCACAAAATGTTTGCGGTCAACGACGGCTTCGAGGGATTTTACAAGGGACAGGTAAGAATCAGAATCAGAATTAAAGATTTTATTGAGCTCCAAGGAGAAATTGTAAAACCTTACAGTCACTATGATGTGAAAGTACAAATAAAGGGTAAGAAAATAAGACATTTTTAAGAATAGAAAAACTATAAAATGAAATGCTAAATATGTAAAATGTGTAAAAAAATATAAAAATATGTGCATTATGCCACATTACTATGTATAAAACTAGTATGTAACATTTTAGAAATATAAAAAAATATAGTGTATGCACTGTACAACACAATATATACATAAATAGAAACAACAATAAGAAATATGTACAATACATGCATCATATGTGAAATATATATTCAAGAGTGGTGTTGCTAAGAACAAACAGGGATAGGGAAAGAATATTGGGCAGTTAAATAATGGTAAAGTAAGAGTGAAAATGATACATTAAAGTATGTAGGGTTGCTGATGATTATTTTCATTGTCAATTAATCAGTCGGTTATTTTCTAGATTAATTAATTGTTTTGGGAATAAAATTTTAGAAAATAGTAAAAAATAATTCCCATAATTTCCCAGAGCCCAACAAATGGTTTGTTTTTGTCTGATAGACAGTTCAAAATGCCCAAAGCTGTTCAGTTTACTATCATTTATGACAAAAAGCATTAAGTTCTCTTATTTAAGAGGCATGACGCCAGCAAATGGGTTTTTTTGGCTTAAAAAATAAAAAAATAACTGCTTAATGATTAAAATAGTCGTCAATAAATTTGCTGTCGATCGACTAATTGAGTCATCGCAAATCGTTGCAACTCTACAACTGTGTACAATATATATTTATTAACAGTACATTTGTCTCGGGTTGCATCCCATAATCTATTTTTTCAATTCACTGATTAGACGTGTCATCTACAAAGTGTCAGAAAATGGCAAAAAAAAAAAAAAAAAAAAAAAAGTCCCTCATTTTCTCGGAGCCCAAACATGGCATCTTCAAATGACATGCTTTTTCTGACCAACAATCCAAAAGTCAAAGACATCCAATTTACACTGATATACAAACCAGAAAAAAACAGCAAGTCCTTCCATTTTAAAAGCTGCAGCAAGAGAAAGTTTTGCATGTTTAGTTAACAAAAAAAACAATGGTAACACTTTACTTGAAGGTATCTACATAAGGGTGACATGACACTGTCATAACTATGACATGACACGGTCATGAACCTGTCATGAACACTATGTACATGTCATAAACGTTTATGACTGCTGTCATTAAGTGTCATTCGTTTTTTGTAATGACAAGTTGACATTGTTTGGGTTGTCCTTATTATGACAACCTGACATTAACCAGGATGACATTACCAGAAGATGTCTTTATGTTAATGTCAAGTTGTCATTTTAAGCACATCCCAGGACATACCAAAAAAAATTTAATGTCAACTTGTCATGACAAAGACAACTTTGATTAATGTCAAGTTGTCATAATCAAGACAACCCAAACAATGTCAACTTGCATTACAAAAACTGAATGACACTTAATGACAGCAGTCATAAACGTTTAGGACATGTGCATAATGTTTATGACAAGTTCATGACAGTGTCATGTGATAGTTATGACAGTGTCATGTCACCCTTTATGTAGATACCTTCAAGTAAAGTGTTACCAAAACAATTATCATCCGTTGATTAATTTTCTTGCCATCAGCTAATTGTTTCAACACTACATATTTTAAAAATCAGTGGCATTTTCTTCCAGTTAAAAGCTTTCTCAGTATATTTTTAAACAATATATTGATTTTTGTTATTTTACAGTACAGCAGTCATCAAAAATTCTTATCCATGTTGTGTGAAATGTGTGCACCTCTTACTCTTAAAGCTAAAAATAGAGTTTGCTGTCAAATGCATGACCCATGCATTCTTTTATACAGATTAATTCCTTGACTCAGGCGACCCCTGCAGTATTCACCAGTGTATCAGAACAATATTGCATAAAATGTTATCGAAGATGTAACAATGTCTGGGATTTTATTCTGTCAGCAAACTGTTTGAAACATTTAAATGAACTAACACACAGTTTAATAAAGAATCCTGAAGAAATCTGAAGTTGATCTTGCTCAACGATGGTCTCAGTATTGTGAGAACTCAAGTGCAAGATAAGTTTGTCCAGCCTAAATAAATAATACAGTCACGCTGTGCACACTGTAGCTCGAGGTTACTACGTTACTCAAGTACGTACAGAGCTTTATTCACCTCAACTTGACACCACTGACAAGCCAGTATATCTTAAATCATGATTGGTCAGGCCAGTCTGCTTTTCTCTGTGGCTGTTATTTCTTCACTCTATGACTTTTATTACATCTGATGTCTGGACACAGAGACATTGGCCGCTGCATTCTTCAGTGACCCAGCAGCAAACTACAGTCAGCCTGGGATGTGACTTTTAACTTGCTTAAAGCTGCTGGCCCTCATTATTAAGAGTAAACAACAGGGGCAGGCAACATTCCTCAGAGGTCATAGTCACTAACTGACCAATAGCAGGAAGCAGGAAGTGTGGGTGCAGCCTCTGTTCTCACTCTCCACTGCGCTGGTTATAGTGATAAGACTAAGTGTGTCCAGATAAACAGTGCTACTTACTGTAAGCCAATTACTCCACTCCCACAGCAGCTATACCATGTATATAACACTCATATAGTCTTTGCCTTGGTCATACTCCTCTGATTGCGTGTGTGCTTTACACACACACACACACACACACACACACACACACATACACTCTCTCAGCTGTGCAGAGAGCAGCAGTGACTTGTTGAAAGCGATGAAGTGGGGCGAGTTGTCACGTACAGTAGAAGGATTAGACTTGAAAAGTGAAGCTGTGATCCCTGGCTAAAACCCCAACTAAGTAGGACACAGTTTATAATGTGGAGCTGCTGGTTAAGTGTGGCTGTGCTGGGACAGTAACAGTTCAGTGAGAAGAAGGAAATATAAAGAGGACCGGAGGCTGACATGTCAAAACTTCCCTCAGGTGGGCTTGGTTTTGCAGGATGGAGGAGTGCACACTTTGGTGGGCTCTGTGACCGTCTCAGCCCATGACTGCACATTTATACTTTATAACTTGAGTGCATCTTTGTAAGGATACAGAACAAAAACCTTTGATTTTTGCTTTGATTGCTTTGGTTGGATGAGAATAAGAAGTTGGACTAAGTTGGAAAGTCAAATGCATGTCAAATATGAAGACATACAGATTATCCTATTCATGTTTTTTGTCATTTGTATATTTGCTCTCACAGCTGTGTACATGGAAGTTGACGGTCTGCCTTGTAAGCCTGTTTGGATTAGGTGTCTGTTGATGCAGATCCCCTCTGTCCAAGTATTTTTTTATGTTGTTACTGGACTTAATTTAGTCCATCCAAATGTCAGTATTTTTTTCAGTATAAGGTTATGATGATCAATTTGAGAATGTATCAGTTGTCACGTAAGAGTTTTTTCAATAAACCCGGGGAGGTCTAGTCACTGTTGCAGCCGTGCCAGCAGCACAAGAAGCAAAAAATAAAAATGTGCATCAAGCACACAACGCTCTGTGTGATGCAGGACATAAGGCGTTGCCACCGGGTGAAGTTTTTAGGGTATCCCAACATGTGCAGCACGTCCCTGATGAAAGTAGTTTTCCATGTTTTACTGCTTTGATTGCAAATATTCTATTTTCTTACCCACAGTGGATCTAACCTTGCAGATAGTGTTGGCTTTATATTCCCAGGTTTTGAGATATGGCTCCTAAGATTTCGGCCTCCACCCCAAATAATGGATTTAAATGACATTTTCTCTGTGGTGCTTAAGGCATGGAAAAATTAAATTAGAGAAATTTAGCAGCAGCATATTTTTTCTGGAATCAGTGTCCTGGTTACTCTGGATAATCCACATAGCAGTTGTCTTCTGTAGAAAGTAGCTCTAATGAAAGTTATGACGGTGAGGTCTGTGGGTCTCTGAATCTTCACCTGTACATCAACAAAAACTAAATATGGAAGTTTAGAACTTGCAAGGTGATTGATGTAGTTTTATCAAAAATGAAAGGTAATGTGAATAATTATCACCTTTCTGTGTTTTAAAATCAGATCAAGGAGATCAAATGGGGAGATGTTGGTGGTTGGACCGGCCAGGGAGGATCACTGCTGGGGACCAAACGGTAAGTAATGATTTTACTGTACTGTATTGTATCGCAGCGTATTGTATCACATCGGATTGTATTGTATTGTATTGAATTGTATCGTATCGTATTGTATTGTTAGTGACTTAAATACTGTATACGTTTTTTGTTTCTTGACCTTACATAAGCTTTTTTCCTTCTATAATTTCTATCTGAGGAAACCAATGGAATAGTGGATCCTCAGATGGGAGATATAAAAAAAATCCTGTTCTCTATGCTCTATCAAGAACTAATCAGTTACAAAGCCTTGGCTCTAAAGTTTGATGAGTTTTGTATATATAAATAGTATCTGAATGAAGCTGTATTCTTTACAAATCTCAGAATATATCAATTTACAGTAGGTCAACTAAAAAAACCTTCTACGATTCTTGATTTCACGTGTCGTCAGTGTTGCTAACCTTAGCTGGTTGAAAAGGAACAAAGAGAAAAGGAATTAAGTGGACAATTGTTTAACCATTGTATTATTTCCTTTCTGTGTGCTGGTGCAGAACTCTTCCAGGCAAACATCTGGAGAAGATCGCTGAGCAGATTAGGATCCATAACATCAACGCCCTGCTTGTCATCGGCGGATTTGAGGTGTGTAACTTTACCTGATTTCTGAATATTGCAATATTTTATCTTTCTGAACGTTTTATCATCAAAACAAACCCAAAGTAGTTGTGTTTCCTCACACTTTTAAATGTTTACTCTGACTGTTGTATAATTCAAACAAAAGCTACCAGTAATTGTTTTAGCAGAATTCTTGAGTTTCTTAAAGATAAATCTGAATTATTTTTTATTGTATGTGCATTATATACTGTGTTTAACATCACTGAATCCATTTCACTTCCACTGACTTTTTGTCCTGTAGGACATTTTACATTTGCAAAACATGTCTTGACTTCTGTATAACCATATTTTCAGAATACAATTAGGACACATTTAAATGTTAAAGGTTCTCTCCTTGTCTGTTCATGTATGTTAATTATGTCATGGCCAAACTGCTAAGCCAGAACCTTGTAATGATCAATCTGAATCATAATAATGATTTTAACCAAAAGATGGGTTTAAGATGCAGCTATAGAGCGACCTAGATGTTAACCTCCCAGGTTTGAACCCTAATATCAAGTGTGCAAGTTACGTTTTGGGCCTGAAAATGGAGGTCCGTGGACAGATTGGAACAACATTTCAAATCTAAGTAAAAAAATCAGTAAACTATTTAATTAAATAAGAATAAAACATGTAAATTTTCCAAAACACAATGGGTTTTTGACTTGGGCAGCTTGGCCAGAAGACGAACACTGTCTCCCTCCCTGTCTTTCTGTGTGTGGAGCTACAGCGTCTACTTCCTGTGTGTGTCTCATTGTCCGTCATAATTGGCCTGGCTCTCTCCTCTTGGCTTCTCCCACCAGTACAGTCCTCCTAGACCATTTGTCTGTCCCACCCACCACTGTTGTCTCTGATCTTTCTACTGCATTACTCTTGCGATCCATCTCCCACCAACATGCCCCGCCTACCTCAAAGCCCACTTTTCTTAAGCTTGGCAGACTGATAAACAATAGTGCATGTCTTGCATATTGTCTAATGTCAACAAGCTAAGAGTTTCAGGCTCCTGCCACCACGAATTAGTTTCAAACTCAACACATCTCCTCTTGGCTACTGTATTTGTAAACACCTTGGCGTTAGGCCTCTTCACTCTCCGCCCACACCCTCATTCCCTCTGTCTGTACATCTTTAACAACAACCTATAAGATGCTGGCTGTCACTGCTGCAGGCCTACGTGGGATTACTGGAACTTTCTGCCGCGCGGGACAAACATAACGAGTTCTGTGTGCCCATGGTTATGGTCCCTGCCACCGTCTCCAACAATATACCTGGTTCAGACCTCAGCATTGGCTCAGACACTGCGCTGAATGCCATTACTGATGTAAGTGTGGCTGGGTAGAGTGTGTGTGTGTGTGCTTGTAGTTGGACACGCACACCATCCAGCCTGTCAGAGTTTGGGGCTTCGCTGACCGACAGCTCGCAGCCTTGAATTAACAATCAGAAGGTGGACTTTATTTGACAAATTAAGACGAGACTTAAGTATAGGGTCACATGATAATGACTTTTGGTCTATGTCACTGCTGTAATGAGTCAGTGACTGCAATATTTTCTGTGTAAACACAGGCACACTGACCCGAAACAACAAAACCTGTGAGCAGGATTTCCTTAGACCCTAATGGAACAGACTTAACCCTCTGCTTTCACATAAACAAAACCATTTATATAGTATATGCTAATTGTGCAGTACATGTTAGAATTATGACTCAAACAACACTTCAGACTAGTGACATATCCTATCACTTGAGAGAAAAAAAATCTTTCATGAACTGGCGTCGTAAATCACAGCTTTCCTTAGCTTGTTATTTACTTTACTGAGGTACACGTTGCAGCCTCAGGTCCTAGGACATTAAAACCTGAGTCACAATTACCACAGAAGCAAACAAGCAGGATCTGGCTCCTGTCCACACGTACACCGCATAAAGACACATACTGTACATCGGAAAACCCTTAATACTGGTTGTTGCTGGAGGCGAGCTGTTCAGCGGTGGTCCCAGGTAAGTGCTTGGGCATGTAGTGACGTGTTGTGGCATGTTTTTGGCGCGTGGCCCTGCCGTGTTTGTGCGGCCTGCTCTGTGTTTGTTTAGGAAACAGCAGACAACTGGACGGCGATCCGGTTCAACGCGACAGGGAGGCTCTGCTCGCACTGTAATGGCACAGAGTCCGTGCGTTTGGAGAGTAAGTCTGCATGCTGTGTGGGCACGTATGAGTCCAGCATCACTGACCGCAGTCTGCAGTTTAGTGTTGGTAGTGCTTTGAACCAGGCCAGAGCCCCTCTGTACTGGACATTCTTGCACATAAAAGGAAACATCGACCACCACAGCCAATGGAGACCCAGCCCAGTCTTTATCTTGCCGCGTTAATACCGTCATGTGTCAGCCAGGGTGACCCTCCCGGCTCCCTCACTCCCCCATTCCATCTCCTCTCAGCCAATGGGAAGCCAAAGCCCCTGTCACCTGGAGAGAGCCAGCCAGCAGCATGCACACCACGAGTCATACACACACATTGAAGAGCTGCACCTTCGTGGTCTCAGTTTATTTGAAATGCCTCCCTTTGCTTGTGTCCTTCAACCTGGACTACACGTGTTGAGCTGAATCTTCATGCCGATTTCTCAGGCTGATCCGATGATATCTTCAAAACAAAAAAATTACAAACATGTAGTGTTATTTTCAGAGTTGGGAAAGCCCCTAAAACAGTGTTTAGATTATTTTTCAGCAGCTCTGCAGAGGGAAAGATCACATACTGTCAAGCTCGTTTATTTTAATGACTAGTATGTGGGATTTAGTGTCATCTAGCTGGAGGTTGTACGAGAACCTCAGGTGGTCTTCTCTTCAGTGTAAAATGGGAGAGGCCCTGTCTAGAGCCAGTGTTTGGTTTGTCTGTTCTGGGCTACTGTAACAAACATGGCGGTGCAACATGGCAGGCTCCGTGGAAGAGGACCCACTCGTGTAGATATAAACACCCCCATTCTAAGCTAATGAAAACACACCCATTTTCAGGTGATCATACACTAATGAAAGCATAGTTATGGATATTCTATTCAGTCTGACAATTGAAGTGCAACTGCAAAAGTAGCGTATTAAAATAAGTACACAGAACATACCGTAAACACTTAGTATGTAGCACTGAACTAGGTCACAGCTTCAACCCAAGGCACTAAGGATACAAGCCAAGGGAGCCACTGAGTGCCACGTAGCAGCCTGTAAAAACACTGCAGTCTCCCACACAAGGACACACTGACAGGGTCTCAGACATGCACTGTGCCCCCTGGTGCTCTAACCATGTATCACGGCCACCACCATCAGGCCTTAGAGTCCCTGCTGCAGCTGTACGAGGCCCGGGCCGACTACGAGGAGTTGTGTATCCCGATGTGCATGCTGCCTGCTACCATTAGTAACAATGTTCCCGGCACTGACCTCAGTATCGGCGCTGACACGTCCCTCAACGCCATCGTGGAGGTAAGGGCCAGTGGGAAAGACCAAAACATGAGGAAAATCACAGCTAGAGGCATCTCATAGTGTTACAGTCTAATGATAATGACACTTAATGTGGGGAAATCCCCAAATTATCCCAGTTCATCTCAGAAATGTTTATGGAAAAGAAGTGAAACTACAATCTGTGAGTACACATCTTCCTGCTCATCCAAAATACAGAACTCTGCTGACCATGGTGCACTTGCATGTCAGCTGACTGCTGCAATGTCGTAATGATGATCTTTATTTTGGAAGCAGTTATGTGGCAAATCCTTCTCTTCCTGCTAGTGAAGGTTGTGATGCTGTTTGTGTTTGATGAGTGCCTCACTGTGACATGCTAAGTCTGAATTACAAATGTCAATGCCTTGGTTTTATCTGCTGTTAATACCAGATGAGTGAAGTCTGCCACTAAAAACAATCAAATAAGTGCCAAAATATTATACAGTCATTCAAAATACTGAGGTTTGCCAACAAGATTATGAGGACAGTATACTGCTGTGATAGATATTATCCAGACCTGGTAGACTTCTCTCATCTGATTAGAACGAAGGCCCAGTATGCACAGGTCAACTCTGACATAATCACTAACCATCCCAATGTAATGATTCTTAATATGGGAATTTTTACCCGTCTGTGTCTGCAGAAAAACACAAAAATAGTACATAAATAAGACACTTTTTTTTGTGGAAAATCTTACACTTAATCTTAAGAATTGGAAATATTATTTAAGCTACCCTAAGTTGTTCATATCCTGCAACAACATATATATATATAGACCGTATATATTCAGATATAATAGACCGAATACAAGACATGCATCCAAACTGACAATCATATCAACCAAATCAAGTCCAACAATAAATAAAACACTGAATATACTAAAAAAACATGCGCAGTCTTGCAGTAATAAATAAGAAGTTAACCTGTGCATCACTGAGACGCAGAATGTTTAATCCAACTCTTCTTGTAGTGTGGACTGCAAAAGGTATGGCTGCATGTTTACACAATATTTTATCTGCTAAAGTAATAATGAAAATAATAAATGTTACTTGTAAGGCGCTTTTCTCGACCCAAAGTAGAGCTGTTTTGATTCATTGTTTAATCTATAGACATAATGCTGAGTTCCCTTCAGTTTGTCACAGCCTGAAGTTCATATTGTTTCCTGAGAGTGACCAAAAACCTAAAAGTATTTCATCTAAAATTCATATTAAATTGATAAAAGTGTTAAAGACTTATTTATATAATTAATTTACGTGATTAAATAACAGATGAATTGACTGATCGGCTCTGCTTTGGTGAGCTCCTGTGGCAAACGAATGCTTGTTAGTAACTGTGTAATCTGTGTGCGATTCAGACATGTGATCGCATCAAGCAGTCAGCCAGTGGCACCAAGCGGCGGGTCTTCATCATTGAGACCATGGGGGGCTACTGCGGCTACCTGGCCACTGTCGGCGGTCTGGCCGCAGGCGCCGACACTGTCTACATCTATGAGGAGCCGTTTGACATCCGGGACCTGCAGGTAAGATATTCAGTCTTATTTAAATGTTAGAGAGCTGCTATGACCCTTTCGTCTCCCTGCTGAAACCCAATTGTAGATGAGTACCTTTCTAAAACAGTGCCTGCTGCACATCTGCTTCATATTTCATAACCTTATATAAAGCTCAGTTGTAAATGCATCCACCCTGGGCTCTCATAAAGCAGCACAGATCACACTTCACTGTTCCATGAGTGTTGCAGCAGCTTCCCTAAGTTCATCACTGCCTCTGCCTGGATGTTTCAGGAGCATGCAGGTGACCCAGATTATATCAATGCGCCTGAAGTGATTTATTAATAACCTCTGAACTGCATCACTCATTCCATAACAGACAGATCCCATCAACACAGATCAGGTCGGGGTGATTAGAGGTGTCAGCGCTGTCATTGTGTTTATGGTGTAACTGTCACACTGGTGTGACGCTGTAAGGAATTATTATTATTAATTATTTTTTATTGCCTTGTATGAGCCACGTTGTACTATTATATACCATTAAGCAACAACAGAAGATTGACATTGATTAAATTTAATTTGGTTATAAGTAAAATAATTAATTGTTAGACATCATTAATAGCCTGCTTTATTATTATAGTCCTAAATCATAGAAGTATTATCTGAGGCAGTTGTTCCATATCAGCACGCTGTTCTACTGCAAAAAGTATCATATTTGGAAATGGTAAAAACACAAATTTTTCCTCCTCTTGGCATTTTCAAAATTGCAGAAGTGATTAAAAAAAAAAAGAAAAAAAAGTGATACTCCAGATGAAAAGAGCACTGTAACACCCAAAGGAACCTTTTTTTCCTTTGAAACAACTCTTTGCATCACCAGAAGGGCAGAATCTGCAATTTTGGTGCCCCCTGCTGGTTCAAATGCCCCCCTGCATGTCTCCATCCTTGGAGGATGATGAGAGGGAGGTGTGTGTGATTTGCGGCTGGATCAGCTGCTCGTGCAGGTTGCAGGGCGCCGTTGCTCCGGTTTAACGTGAGGCTTCCCTGTGTGTTTTCAGGCCAACGTGGAGCATCTGACGCAGAAGATGAAGACGAGCATCCAGAGAGGCTTAGTGCTCAGGTGGGTGTCGGTGCTGATACGCCAGGCAGTTTGTTCTTCTCTTTAGTGTGACATTGCCACTGCTGTTTCCTCTTGCATTAACTTGCTACATTGAGGTGTGTGTGTGTGTGTGTGTGTGTGTGTGTGTGTGTGAGTGACTGAAGGAGAGAACACAACAAAAGAAGAGTAAAACATATTTACATACTCTGTATTAATGGTAAAGAATTAGGTTTTGTCTTGTTGTAAATTTGTTCTCAATTAATTACACAAACCCAGCTGGTCTTAAAATATCTCTGACAGCTAAACGACCTCACACACACTTTACTTCATGTCATCTGTTGTGGCTATTTTAGTCCACTGCACCATCACACTGTTTAAATTGCTCCCAGCAGGATGGAAGTCTGTGGAAATAGGACAAATGTAATATTTTGGACAACGTGTAGGTGACATTGTGTGTCTGTGCTGAGGTTTGCACCTGCTTTACTTAAGTATCACACTCAAGCACAGTTTTGCATCTCAAGTAGCTCTGCAGGTTGTAGTGGACAGAAGAGTGATGCCCTGGCTCAAGGGCACAAGAGCACTGGGGGTATAGAGATCCATCAGCATAAGGACACTACCTCGTCTGTTTAAAGGGCTGGTTCACCCAGTTTACTTCCCTATAGGTGTGTCTAATCATGCAGATAGTTTTGGTTTTATCTGTCCATGTTTCTTGGACTGTAAGAAATTCTGTCTCCACCCCCAAAACGATGGAAATTAATTAAATTTGTGTCTCTTAAGGCACTCAAAAAAATCAATAGCAACTTTTCCCCAAGAAACAGCGGCTTCTGTCAAGGTAACTTTTTTTGTTATTTCAGTGAACTAACCCTTTAACTAACCTGTTGCCCTTGTAATGTGTGTTTTAGGAATGAGAACTCCAATGAGAACTTTACCACTGACTTCATCTACCAGCTGTACTCTGAGGAGGGACGGGGAGTGTTTGACTGTAGGAAGAACATCCTCGGTCACATGCAGCAGGTTGGACACACACATAAAAACACACTTTACTGTGCATGCTTTACTGTCACTAGTGGAAGTTAATTAGCTGGTGATATAGGGAACAACGTTATTCCGAAATTGCAACATGAAGGAGTCGATAAAACTTTCCATGGTTGCAAGAAGCTGCAGCCTGTCATTGTGATCATTTTACTGAAGTTATACAAATTGTCTTATTTAATATTCTGACATATATTTCCCAGCCTTGTTTTTAAACAGAAGAATATTTTCTTTCCTTTCACAGGGAGGAGCTCCATCACCTTTTGATAGGAACTTTGGCACCAAAATTGCTGCTAAAGCCATGCAGTGGATCACACGGACGCTCAAGGAGTCTTACAAAGGAGGTAAAAAGAAACTCAATAACCACATTTGTTTAGTCTTGGTTCCTTGTTTTTCTCGATTCATCAGGGCCATGTCTGCATCAGTGTCTGTGTGTGACTGGGTGTAACATGTGTTTGGTTATAAAGGCTGATGCTTGTCTTCGATGCAGGGCGAGTGTTTGCTAACTCAGAGGACACCGCCTGCCTGTTGGGGATGCGTCGCAGAGCCATGGTCTTTCAGCCCGTGTCACAGATCCGTGATGAGACGGACTTTGTGTAAGAAACAATTTCAGTTTTACTCTCTGTAGTAGATCAGTTCCATACCTTCACTGAAAAGATGAGATAAACTTAAACAATTCACCAGCACTAATTGGCATGATGTACTGTACATCATAATTTCTCAAAGTGCGACCCACATGCCTGTGGTGGCCCTCAGAAACATTTTGCATGGCCCCTGAACTTGACATGAAGTACATGCATTATACATTAATCACCTGTTTCATTATAATACTTTGACATAAGAGCCTACACTTGATACACCACTCAGCTGCTGCATCAAACTGCAGTTTAATGTGGAAGTTAGATAGATAGGATTTGTTTTATGTGTGCACTTCTATTGTGCAGCCCTCAATCATATGCTGGCTCTGTAAATTGAAACTCTGGTTGGAACCCCTGGTATAGTTTATGAAAATGTCATAAAAAGTCACAATATGTCAAAAAAAGACAGAAAAATATGTCATAGTATATGTCATAAGAAGTCATTATATAGTTTGTCATAAAAAAAATAAAGTAAAAATGTCTTAAAAAAATTGTCAAAGGTCATAGTGTAGTATTCTATAAAAAAGTCTTAAAGTTACAGAAAAGCATAAAATTAGTAATTTAAAAAAGGCATATTATAGTATGTCGTAAAAAAGTCACAGTACAGTGTACCATAAAAATGTCATTAAAATGCTGTAGTTTAGTATGGTGTAAAAAAACAACAAAATCATAGTACACCACATGTACCACCAAATGCCAAAAAACCCAAAACAAAATAAATTAAAAAAAAAAAGTAGTTTGTCGTAAAACATGTAATAAAAAGTCATTGTACAGGATGTCAAGAAGAAGTTACAGTATCTGTCATAAAAAATGTTGCTGTCAGAATGCCATCATAAAAATCATCATCAAAAAGTATGGTATGCAGAACAAAAAATGTCATAGTATAGAATGCCATTGAAAAAAAAAAAAAAAGTCATACTATGGCATGTTATAGCCATTTTCAAAAACAAGTCATAGTATAGTGTGTCATCATTTAAAAAAAAAGTCATAGTATAGTATGTTATAACCATTTTTATAAGAAATGTCGTAGTATGGCATGTCGTAAATATTTTCATAATTAATAATATTTTCATAAATTGTAGCAGTATATTATGCAATATTTTTAAAAGATGTTAGTATTATAGTTTGTCAGAAAATTGTCATAGTATAGTGTCATAAAATAGTAGAGAATGACATTAAAAAAATAAAAATGTAATATATTTTATTATAAAATAATAATATAATATAGAATGCCATAATTCCTATATGAAAATGTCCTTTTTTTTAAATGTTTATTAAATGCCATACTATGGTATTTTTTATGGCATTCTCTACAATAACATTTTTGTGACATACTATGACATTTTTATTAAAAATGTGATGGCATATAAGACTGTGACAATTTTATGACATACTGTAGTATGACACTTTTAATGAAAAAAATTATGTCATATACTATATGCCAAAAAAAAGTCAGGATACAGCATACCATAAAAATGTAAAAAAAAACTCAGTTTAGTTTGTACTTAAGTATGTTATAAACATGTCACATTATAGTTTGTCATAAAATTAGCCACAGCCATAGTATAGCATGCCATACAAACAGATTTTAAAAAAAGTCACAATACAGTATTTAAAATAAAAAGTAATAGGATAGCACTAAAACATCATCGATAAAGTCATAATACAGCATGTTTTATAAAATTTCATAATGTAGTTTGCCATAAAAAAAAGTCCATGTATGTTGTATAGGCCCAGGGGCTATACATATACATATTTCTAGGTAATGTTGGTGGAGGAAAAAAATATTTTTTTCATTTTGCCTCTTAAATTTTAAATAATCTCTTCTTGGAAGAGAGGATTGCCCCAAACTCAAAGCTACAGTGAATCTCCAGCCTGTCAACGTGAGTGACAGGACGAATGTGGTGCAATATAAAAATCTGGTCCTTGTGTTTGGTCCCCACAGCCACAGGATCCCCAAGGAGCAGTGGTGGCTGAAGCTCCGTCCACTGATGAAAATTCTGGCCAAGTACAAGACCAGCTACGACGTGTCCGACTCGGGCCAGCTGGAGCACGTGACCCGGTTCCGATCCAGAGAGTCCAACAACACGGCGGCCATCTGAACCATAGCACTGCTGCCAGAGAGTATCACTCCAACAGGAAAACAGCTTCACAGAACAGTGACGGCTGCTCACACTATGACTGATCGACTGCTGATTGACTGCAAATACATTTAGGTAGAATTTAAAAGATAGCTGGTAATTTGAGAAAGTTATACTGTATGATAAAGCATGGCGATTATAGGAAGGGATCTTCTATTTTTCAGATAATGGATGATGAAATTTAGATAGGGACATATTTAACGAGGGTATGACGTGGGATAGAGCTCTTCACATAGTTTCAACAAGCTAGCAGAGCTTAAGTGTTTTCTGGATCCTCAATCAAAGTTATTATAGATTTAAATATATATATAATAAGCACTCCTCATCATGTACTGTATAAGTTTTTAAGTTTTAGTCCTGAAAATGTAGCTATATTGATATTTTTTTTAACTACCTAGCTGAGCAAAGGCCCATGTTGCGTCAAGGCAGCGAGGCTGAGGTGGGCCATTCCTTTGAAGCTCTTGTCATTTTTATTATTTTCTACAGCACTTTTAGCCCCATTATTCAAGTAATCCTTTAAAGCTGCTTCTAAAGAGATAATATATAAGTATATGTCAGGAGGATCACATTCTGTCAATCTGTTCACACCTTGAAAAAATCATTTTGATTGTAAAATGTAAATGTGACCTGCAGGAGGTTTAGTGAGCCAAGCTTGCCTTGTGTGTGTCCTATCCATGCTCATTGTGTGTATGAGTGTGTGTGTACGTGTAATGTGGTGTTGCCTTAGCCGTTTGTATCCACCATGGGCTTTGTATGTGGCATCTTGTAACTGTATTTGTGAGTCGGGTCCTGCTGTTGCTGTAGTTTGGCGGTGAAGTAGAGAATGTTTGAAACTTGTACGCAACATTAATTTAATGTGCTGGCAGTGTGATGTGAGTGTCCTGTCACAGAGTAATAAAGCATTTATTGTGTGGAAAGTTATGAAACTGTCGTGATATGTAGCAATGTGTTGGTGTCTGTGGTGCTCATGCCATTGAATACATGTTATGGGCTACTGCTTTCTTGCGGAGTTAGATGAGAAGATTGATACCACTCTGTCTGCATGGTAAACCATCAGCAGGCGTTTAGCTAAGCTTAGCTCAAAGACTCAAAACAGGGAGTTGTGAATCACCTGAACGTTAATTTAATTGCTTGAACCACATATAATTATCACAGTGCAGAGAAAACAAAAATCACCATATCGAAATCAAAGTTTTCATGATCACAAGATACTCAAAAAGAAAGCCCAGACTCAGATTTTGTTTGTCCAGCATTAGAATGTAATGTCACGACCACACTTTCATTAATATGTACATAACAATGTACAAAAAGAGAAGTAATAATCTGAAGGGTCAGATTATGACTACAACACTAATCAGTCCACAATCCTCCTCTTAGGACTGTGCGCTTCAGCTTTCTTTGCCTCCATTTAAGTAAAATCCCAACAGTACCATTGTCTTTGGGTTTTCAGTACATAGTACATTTTGCCACTGTGGTACATGTGAAGTCCAGTTAAGTTTTCAGTTATAAAACACCTGCTAATTAGATTATTTTACAATCCATGAGGGATCTTTTTTAATTGTTTTGTTCTCGGGGCCCAGGATAGCGACACCACACGTCCTCTGACCAACACCGAGGTATCTGCAGGGAAACAACACCAAGGACACTTGTTTAATATTTAATTTACCAAAGAGAGTTTGAACATTTTGAAGTAGAGATAATTACACGCAGAATTGTTCAATCTCCATTTTGGTTTCTTAACAATTCTAAAGTAAGGTATAGATTTTTACCTTTCGGCCACTCCCACCAGGCTTTTGTGATCGACAGCAAAGAGTCTTTCTCTGTGACTCTGCAGCATCTCATCTGTGACTCCGTTGAGGAAGCTACCCATTCCTGCAACACAGAGACACGGTGAACAAAGTAGTGTCAGGTTTTATATCAGCGGAGCCCCAAACTGCTTCAATTTGAAGGCAAAGCACTCAAATAAAGGCTGCAGCTCAGGATTACGTTCAATTATGTGGGTGTTTTTGAACACATTTGACTTAACAAAGTGAAATCTTTACACTGTCTGACCAACAGTAAAAACCTCAAAGATATTCAATATGAAATTACATAAACCAGAAGAACTGGTCATTTAGCTACCACTTTAGCTGAGTGGACCTGAAAAACAAAAACACACAAAAAAATATTTCCTGGGTCTAATGTTTAAAGGTTTTTCTTGGCACAGTTTGACTGACAGTTGCTGTGCGGAAACATCTCAACGCTGAAAGCTTAGTTACAACGATAGAGACAAAACTGGAGATAAAATCTCATTTTAAGAAGTCTAATAATCTGAACTCCTCTTTTCGCATTCTGCAGTTTTATCTTCTCACCCTTGGAAGGTAATGAGATGTTTTCTAAGCTTCACTTTTAATCTAACATCGAATGATGCTCAGAACATTTGATGTGAATTCCTGTAGTCGGTCGAGCAAGCTGCTGTCAGGATGCATCAGTGGGAGTCTCACCTTTGTTTGCGGGGGCTATAGGTGAGTCGACAGCTGAGAACACTGACAGTTTGGCCTCATCGATGTCCTGCTGAGTAAACTGCCCCGACTTTGCCCACTCCACACCTTTACGAAATGCAGCCAAGGTCTGCACTGAGTTCGGGTCCCTTTGAGACAAGAAATAAACACCAGGTCAACACACACTGTGAAATTCTAATAATCAATGTTTTACACTTCAGACGTTTTCTGATTTTTTTCAATCAAAAAGTTGTTTGGTAAAAAAAAAAGCCATCACAGTGACAATTTCCCAAAACCAAACCGTTTTCATCTGAAACTCAAATATTTTCATCTTAGAAAACATAGATAACTAAAAAAATATAGAAATGCTCATATTTGAGTGGCTGGAAACAGAGAATTGTGTCATTTTTTTCTTGAGAAAATATGACTCAAAACAATCAGTTATCAAAAAAGCTTCCAATTAATGTTCCTGTAATGAACTAACTGTTGCAGATGTAATTCTTATGTTTCTCCAGAAAACTGCCTCTTGACCCATTCTGCAAAATCCTCATCTTAAAGCTCAAAACACTATTTCAGCCTGTCAGCATCTCCCACACAACTCAGGAGAGTTTTCCAACTTTTACAAGATTTCTTTTAAAAGAAGAGGATCACCAAATAGTATAATATGTCTCATTTAGACACAAAATATTAAACTGTAATCAGCAAATTTATTACTGCAATATATGGTAATATAGGTTATATATTTGTGCAATGTGCATTGCAGTGCTGTCCAAAACTGTGACCAGTTTGATGAATGGCTGCCAACCTGTATGAGTAAAAGGAGAAAAGACCTCCTCCCATCCTAGCCCCGCCCCCGTACGCTCCCCCCTTCTCCCGGATCTCTCCATGAAGATATTTCGCCGTCATCAACCTCGCCAGGATGCACAAGCTGACAAAGACAGAACATAAAGCAAAAGAAAGTGGTTAGCAAACTCAAAACACAATGAATTACAAAAATGTCAGCAGAAAAATCACGTCTATATAGCGTACATCACCAAATTAACTCTCACTACAGTGTCACATCAATAATTGTGTGTGAAATATAAGACATGGTGGCATTTACAGTGGCATGTGTCAAGTCAACATTAACCTTCCGGCCACTGCTCTTGGTGTGCTGCGTGCTGGTGTGGTTACCTGGCGTAGTCCTCATGGGAGAACGGTACTGTACGAATGCTCTCACTGACAAAATTGACAGGGAAGGGCATCTGGAAGAAAGTTTTCATCTGACATGGATGATAATTATGCTCCTGAAATGTATAAAAAAAAACCACACGCACAGACACACTGCTTAATATGAATTCAAAATTGAGTTATTCATCAATAATCAAACAAAGCTGCCAACGTGAACAGGCATTATCTTCCACGACCTGAAACTCCCGTCCTGTTTTCTGTAGTTATCTTAAACTCCATTTGGCAGCAATACAGAGATTACAAACAAATCAGCAGACTGTGAAATGAACACTTACAGAGATGAGTTTCCTGCTCAGTCCGGAGTTATTCAGGGAGTCCAGTGGCCTCTTAAATGAAGACATTAAAAGAAGGCAAAACATTACTATATTATGATCTGATGGACAAGTCAATATGACAAATCTTCCGACTGGTTTATTGATCAGGATCACCTGTTGATTCCTTACCTCGATAATATCGGTTCTGACAGGTTTGCGCGTCTTTCCGTTCTCAGCCATGCCCTTCATAAAACTCTCCAACTGTGCTGCTGTGTCAGACATTTTCTGAGGTGTTGCATTGACTGCACACCTATAAGGAAGACACAGTTTAATTTGAATTGAGGGAAATGTACTGAGTAGATGATATACAGTACATTTACACTACAATCATTTTGTTAACATAAACAAAAGTGCTCAAAAGTGATAAACAGTGCTCCAAACACTGAACATATAAACATGATATGAGCTGGTGCACCTTTATACAAACCCACCTAATGTTGTCGCGGATGAGAAGGTGTTTTTTGATCCTGGGCAGTGTTCGGATGACTGGGCTGAGGTCTGACATCTCAGCTATTCTCTTCATAAAATTCACCTAATTCCAATAAGCAAAACACAAAACAGATGAAACCGTTTTAGAACGTTGCATAGAAAAGTTGCAGCGGTGTGGACTGGCTGTCTGAGTTCGACCAAAGCCGGCTGATGGTGTCACCTGCAGTTCCGCTTGTCAAAAGCTCGGTCACCTGTTTCAACAGCCAACTGGCTTGTAGTGAAATCTGCTGGTCAAGTCAAAATGACTCTGTCCCTGCCGAGCCCCCTGTTTCCACTATTTCTACTTCTACTTATTATGTAGACATAATAACAGAAATGGAGAACTGCCTTGTTGTTGAAGCTCATGTGATCAGTAACAACGATTATTACTAATCATACATAAACTGTGCTGTACCTGCTCCATCCCACCAAAAGACTCCTGGAGGTCTCCTGCTGGAGTCAGGTGTCGGCCTGAGCGCGTCATGGCATACATGTGACCAGAGTAGGATATCCCATTGGCCAACTCCTGCGCTGACATCATCACCAGCACTCTCATGCGCTCCTCATCATCAAAGTGTGGGCTGGAGGAAAACATGTAATTAGATTAATGCTATGGTTTCTCTGTATCCAGCTTGCCAGTGTCAATAATCACAGCTGACTGTTCTCCAAAAGACCAGCCACATTTTACTTTTCAGCATCCATTAAGTACAGCATTGGAGGACATACCTGTGGAATATGTCGCTCCACAGCTGAAACATGTGAGGAAGGTTCCTCTCCAGGCAGGAGGAGAACAGGAGGACACCCTGAGGCAGAGAGCACAGAGCAAATTAGAGACAGCGTTTGGTGTTTTGCGAGGCTGTACTGGAACCTGCAGCATTTTCTTCAACCACATGTTCTTTTTTTCTGAAAGACAAAGGGCTGGAGCTTATCCCAGCATGCACTGGGCTGAAACCAGGGATTCAAACTGGACTGCCTCTGAGATTTACATTTATAATTGTCTGATTTGCATGTGTTTGGGTTGCAGCAGGACACGCATACGTAATCGGCACACAGAGCACTGAGGGATGGGAATCAAATCTGTTCCTGCAAAATACGCAGTGGGTTTTAATTTACTTTATAGGCTTCAGTGCGTTCAGAGCTGGCACTGACCTGCTCGTACATGTCCAGCTGGGAGGAGTCAGTGGTGATGTGGGTGGAGACAGACATGCCCCCTGTCCTCAGCTCCATCTGCTGGGCCTGCTGCCTGTAGTCCAGATCGCCACAGCCCATCCTAATTAGACAAACAGAGACACATCCAGTCCTTCAACTGTATGCTGCAAGTTGGGAAGCAGGTACAATCTAAAATACTGTACACACAAAAGAAATACCTATCTGTCTCAATCTCACAGATTCTAAACTTGATCTGTGCGTTCCAGATCTTGTTCTGGTC